ACTAGTTCAAGAACCTATTTCTGGCACTTTAAAAAGGTATTTCTTTTATAGTTCTATCTGTGTTAACCTATTTAATCAATACCAAGTTTTATGTTTCATTGATATATTAATAAACCATAAATGTTTGATCCATTTTAAAATAATTTATCTGCACTTTTTAAAGGGGCTTTTTACTAGAATATGAATTCTGCTTATATAGAATTTTACTGCAATGGATTTCTTCAGCAGCCACTGGAAACACCAGACACCACACATGCACACTTTGTGTGTTCCTCAATTTAAAACAGACTGATATCTTCTAGAGACATTAAGATATTAAAGAGATTGAAGTGATTTAGAATGTGTTTTACTTAGGTGTTAAAACCATTGATATTTTGAGATTTTATGGCATCTCAGTGAAAGAGTTTACTTTTTAATTGCATTTTAAAGATTTTCATTAGGTCAAGGAGCCACTTTTCTGTGTTTTGAGCAGCAGTCCCTCTAGCTACATTTTCTCCTCTCTATTATGTGTTTGGGCTTTTTGCCTCCTTCAGTTTATAAAAATCAACTCTTGTTATATAAGCAGGCCCTGTTGGCCTGAGGTCTGATCCAGACAAAAACAACCATCACATGCATTCCTTCAGAAAGCGCCTTTCTAAGTAGATAACAGCAAGAATATAACATTATTTATTTTACAATATTATTACAGGCTCCTAATTTCTAAATATTTCTAAAGACAGCAGTGAACTTCACAATTCACATATTTTTTTTTCAGGGCCTACTAAGTTTAATTTTCCTTCTAACCCTAAATCCCCATGATTTCAAAACCGTTTTACTATCACTAGGAGTCTGGGCTCTGCTGAGTCAATCCACTCAGAAACACAAAGTGTCTCAGGACATCAGAGACAACCCATGCACAAACCTGACTGCACAGCTTTGGAGTTTTCTTTGCCAAAGGTTTCACTTTCTGTCAAAACTTCCAGGATTAAAAAAAAAAAAAAAAAAAAAAATTGCATTCCAAGCCCAGAATAGCCTGTGGGGGTCAGAAGAGCTTTGCCATGAGATGTGGTGTGATAACTGATCTTATATGTAAGATTTATTGATCTCAGTAATCTGTTGTGAGACAGGCTATTAAACTTTGATATTTTACTACACCTAGAGCACAACCTCCCAGACACAGTGGCTCCTCCTACAGCCAGAGATGTCAACTGTATGCTAATTATTCATGTGTACTTACATTCTTTGTTAAATATATTGCTTCTACACACCAGAGTCTGTGCCTCAGAGGCTCAAAGAGTAAAGCACAAACATTCCATTCTGGAAAGCTCTGTCAGTTATGCCTTGGAATTGGTAATACTGATCCTTCCTTTCACTTCTCTTCATTTGACTCTGGAATTTTCTTCCCTTTTCCCATCAGTCTGAGCTCCCATTAAGGAAAATTCTGTGATCTGTAAAATTCTTCATGAAGTTATTTTGCTAACATCATCTTTCCCAACTCCCATAGCAACCACCATTCTGGATTTTTAACTATTTTTTTCCACCTGCCATTTCAAACCTCACAAATTCTCTGCTGTGCTAAATGTCATCTCGCGTTTCAGATATTTCTGCAGTCATTCCTGGAGCCACACACAACTACAGTGAGAAGCAGCTGCTTGTGAGCTTCATCATTGCAATTAGCTCCAGGAAATTAAAGTTCAGCTGCCACATACCCAGCCCTCAAAGGCTGTTGCCTTGTGCATCACGTTGGCTCAGCAAAGAGGATGCAAAACACCACCTAGAAGAACTAAGGAAAGGAACAAAACCAACAAAAAGGCACCAGCTTTTTCCTTTCTCCTTTGCCTTTCAGGGAAGGAAAGGGGTGGATTTATTTGAGAAAGGTATCACAGAGGATCAGTTATCAATCACTGACTAAACTGTCCATCTATTTATCTGTTGGGAGGCAAAAAAATTGTCAAGTGCCGTTTAATTCCAACACTGAAGTTTGCTGCTGTCTTCTAGAAATATTTAGAAATTAGGAGCTTGTAATAATTCTGTAAAATAAATAATGTTATATTCTTGCTGTTATCTACTTCCTGCTGGGGAAGAGTCCCTGAGCAGAGGATCCAAGTGTAATCTAGGGTTGAATCAGGATGTGTTCCATGTAATTCATGACAAAGCTTTTTCTCCCACCCTTCCCTATGAAACTGGTGTTACTGGTCGCTGCCATGCCAGCACACCTGGCTGTGTGGACTGATCCAGAGTTTTACTTCTCACAGATTTGGGAGGGAAGAAATGAATTTGTTTCTGCAAGAGAGGAAAAGCAGAAGGCCAGAAAGGTCAGGAAGGCAGTGAGCACACACCTGCCTGTGTGTCTGTGAGCAGCACAGCAGCCAGGCTGGGAACCCTGCACAGCTGCACACGATTTGCAGGATGTGAGCCAACTGAAACATCCCTGAGAGCTGTGAGCAGTGCCAGGAGCGTGTCTGGACTTAACCCCCACATTTCCACATTCCACCACAGCGCCATCCACTCTTCCTCCCTTTTACAAACTTGCAGCAAGTGCAAGGGCAGTGGGAAGAGCTCCTGAAGCCAGAGAGCAGAGCTGTAGAACTCAGCTCAAAGACATCCAAGCAGCTGACACAAAAAAACCAGCCCCAGTCTCTTTGAGCAAAGAACCAGAGACATGTGACACAGTCTTAAAACATTTGCTAAGTCTAAAAAAAAAAAAATAGAAAAACATTGCTCTGTAAATAAAAATATTGTAATTCTGCTGTAGCTCTGGGAGACTTGAGTGTTTGGTTTTCTAGTTGATAAAACAGGAAGTCAGAATCAAATCTGAGCTGAAGGTTTTCATCCTTTGCTTTCAGGGACTTGTGAAAACAACAGTGCAAACAGCCTGCAGCACAGACCACCGAGGTTGGACTGTTTGTCCCTACAATAAATACTTCACCAGCGCATGTTTGTAATTTTTTTTCATTTGTATAAGGACTGAGACAGCAACTTCCCCAAGGAAGAAACATGACATGAGTATTTCTGTGGTTCCAGTCAAGCTGGAGGATCGTGACTGCTGAAACTTCCCTGTGTGTGAGCTTAGTTCCAAGTAAGCTGTACAAATAGAATTCCCTGGGCCATCTCACCATCAGTTCAGAAACTGCCACTGTGTCCACTGAAACCATGTAACATAAATGGTGCTAGTGCAGCAAACCAGGAAAGATTACAAGATCTGAGTTAAACCAACTGCTTTAACTTTACACATAGCTTTACTTTTACTTTGCACATAGCTTTACTTTTACTTTACACATAGCTTTACTTCTAAGGGCCTCATGCAGAACACAGGTCACATTGACTTCTGAAGGTTTAAAAACCTTTTCAGCCCATCCACCTTGTAGAACCAGTTTAACTTTTTCACTTGACTCACAACAGGAGCCAACACTTCACAACAGGAGCCATGTCTACTCCTATTTCAAGGGCCATATGTGAATCCTCCCATGAACACTGCAAATCATCATAAACATCTGTGACCTTCTGCAGGCTGTCTGGCTGTCCATCCTAAGCCCTGCAAGGCAGAGTTGTCTCTTTGTGTGCCCAGTGGCCAACACAGATGAAGACAGATCCAACCCCCAAAAGCACCACCAGGACTTACCTGCCTTGGGGCTGGCCCGTGGGTCCAGGAGCACTGCTTTAAGTTCAGGCCTGAGACACCTGTAGGTGCAGTCATTCCTGCTTTTCCCCTTGGATGGACATCAGAAGTCAAAGGCTTGATTACAGTATGGAATCCAAGCTGATTTTTTAATTATTATGGCTGCAGAAGCCATAGCACAGATATTCCTATACAGAATGGTGCTAAGCCTCGGGACCTCTGCACCCAAACATTGCAGACTGCAAGGCTGCCACCCTGCCACTGCCAATACCTGCTCTGGTCCTCCAACTGTGATGCTTCGCTGGGCACTGGCACTACACCAGCACAGCAAATGGTTTGTTCAGTATCTCCCCAGTTTGGGTTTCCAGGTCGTGTCAAATCCTCTCCAAGGAAGCGCTTTTTGCTGTCAGGGTGCAGCTACATGTACCACAGCATGTGGAGGGCACTCACCACCTGCTCTGCACCATGCATCAGAACCTGAAACAGCCTTCTGAGATTTTTTAAACAGATTTAGGCAACTTTGGACAAGGTGCAAAGACACTGCTGTGAAAACCAAGCTTCCACCTGGAACTTTTTCCATGTTTAACCTTCAGTGTCTTCTCCTTTCTGGGAAGAGTGTGCACACCTCTGCCATCACTTCCCACCTCCATGCACAACCACAGAGTGCAGAGGGTTGCAGAAAGCAGGCCTTACATGAGTTGAAAACTGGAAAAATTCCTAGAATCTCCCAAGGGGTTTATGAGATGTATGGATGGCACACCCTGCTGGAAGAGGGGCAGAACTGTGACCCTCAGCTGCTCTGAGCCCCCTTCCACAGGCAGCTGTTGGGTTAGGCAGGATTTTGGCAGGCCTGACTTTGATTTTGTCAGAAAACCTGTCAGCATTCATGGTAACTCAAATATCAAAAGGAGAAAAACTATTAATGAGGTTTTACAGCAGTGATTTCAACTGAGCTTCCAGGTGCATGTGAAGCTTGAAAGTAAAGGATTGACTGGGTGGGGAAGAACTCTAGATCACTTCAAACAAAACTACACCCATTCCATGGCCCCTGCTCTCAGGATGCTCATGGTCAGCTTGCTTGCTTCAAGAACCACTGAACCACACGTAGTTTCTTAAACTGATTTCCAAAAAAAAAAAAAAAAAATTGAAAATAAAAACTGTAGGAACCATACTTGTCTGAATATCATATGAAGATCTGAAAAGGGTAAGCAGAAGAAGATAACACCCCAGTGATGTGGCTGCAAAATCAAGCTGCATTAAGCTAATATAATAGTAATAAATAAATATAATAATAATTAATAAATAGAATAAAGTCCATGTGGCACCCCACAATGTCTTTGATCAAACTGCACTGGCGAGGTCTGGGGCTGTGGGAGGAGAAAAAGCAACTGGGGAAAGACAATTCCATGCTCAATGTGTCTGTACAGTTTATTTTACAGGAGATGAGATGAGCACTATGGTGTATATAAACTTGCAGAACAATATAGGAAAATACAGTTTAACCATATGAAATTGTTTTACAGTAAGACAGAAAAATTACATAGAGGAAATGCCTTCAACACTGAAGGACAAGATCCACAGCTGACATCAAGTAGCTTCCACTGAACCCTGCCAGTTTATTCGAGCTGAAGATCTGCCCCTTAAATCTTTTCTTCATTCACCTTAAGTTCAGTAAGTGATTCCTTCATCTATCCTTAGGGAACAAAAGCCATCCCATAATTTCCACAATGATCCAAGATTTACTAGTAACCCAGACAGAGGCTGTGTGATATATAAACTATTTAAGGGGTCTAGTCAGCCAAAATTTACGGGAAGTTATAAAATTTTGGTTAAGCATCTTTAAAAACAAGTCATTAGTACTGGCAAAAGACAACTTTCCTAGAAATTTAGAAGTATTTAGGAAAACTTACACAAAAAGGACCAAAGAAGCAACTTAATTTTGGTAGAAAACTCTGGTTTAGGGTATGACTGGTATCTGGCCTGCCTGGGAATCCCTGCTGCTACAGTCTGCAGAACTGCCCAGTGGAATTCTCAGTCTGGTGTTGCACAAAACAAGGGAATCATCTAAGGAGAAGAAAGTATTTTTGTCCAACACTAATACCTGCTGTTTTCATAATGGAGAGAGGCTGCTGTTCCTAAAGAGAGTTTTTGACCTAAAAGAGTATGAACATCCCAATTCCTTAGGTTATTCTGATAATCTCAGCCATTTTATTAAAAAAACTCCAAAGGAACAAGGCATTTCAGGTCAACCATTCCCAAATTCTGGGGTTAACATGACTTTGATTATTTTGTTAGCAGACGTGAGATCCCTGAAATCACATTCAGCTTTTGAGTTCCAGGACTAGAACATTTCTCCCCTGCAACTGCTGTAAAAAAAAACGTTGTGGGCTCTTAAAAAATTTATTATTATTAATTAATCTTATGCAATAAAGTGTAACAACTCTTTTATGCAAAATTATCACTGCATACGATTTTTATGCAGATTTCCCTGCTTATTCTACTGAGACCAAGGATGGGTCCAAAGATTAGTTTCAATGCAGTTGCTTTTAAAGTCTTATTTTTTCTATTCCATTTTCAGCATTGAGAATTTAGGATGCCTGAGCTGGACAGCAAATTCTCAGAGCCAAAGGCAGGTCTCCTGGAGATGTGGCTGTCCTAAGAGGGAGCACAGTTCAGAGCAAGGAAGGGGCTGAGAATCCTGCACAGAGCTGTGCCCAGCGGCTGCTCCTGAGATTTGGCAATTTGTAGGGTAAATCTGTATTTTTCACATGCTTGTAGCAGGTACTATTTAAAGAGGCACTTCAAGGGGATTTGCTAGCAGAATTTTAATAGGGTTGTGATACAAGCCATTACTCAGTTACTTGTTAAATCAGTAGCCCTAAAAGACTGCATATATTTAAAATTATAGTCCTGTCCACTCACTGAACCTGGATAGAACAGCTGGAAAGCTTTTCTTCTGAATATCCACTGAGTTTATCTCTTATGACACACCTGAAATAGTTCAACTTAATGTAAGTTGAGGGAATTGAATCTGAATGTCTGAAATCTATAGATGTTTTTTTTCCATAATTATTATGTGGTTAATCTAAGACTTATTTTTTTTAATTTATCTATGAAAGATTTTATCCATGTACAGTTCTTAGACTCAGATGCATCATTAGGCACAAAAGGTTTCTGCCTTGAGGAATGCATGGGATTAGAAATTTAGGTTGAATTGTGCTATGTGTTGGTCCCTTCAGAAAAAACATCCAGGAAGGAAAAAGAAACTGCAGCTAGCACAAAAAGAAGTTATTACACTTCCAAACCTGGTGGCTGATCAAAAAAAATCCAAAACAAACCCCAAAATAACCTCTCCAAAAAAGCTCTTAAAACCCTCAGAAAACAGCCAAAAGCGCGAAGTTTGGTTAGCACATTGAAATAACAGATATGTTCTACGAAATTTCAAAATTCAAGTGTTGTACTTCACTGATGAAGAGCTGGCTACAGTGACAACAGAGAGGCAAAAATAAAGAGTTGAAAGATGCACCACTCACATGAAGAAAATCTACTGTAAGACAAAGCAGTGGGTGTTATTCTTACAACAGTGCTTCTCAGGAAAAGACAAGGGTTTGCTGCCAGGAAAGATTTCATTCCCACTGTGCATCAGCAGGGCTGGGTGCTCCAGGCTCCTGAAGCACAGCAGGCTCAGCACCCCTGCCCTGGGGCAGCCAAATGCCAGAGCCCCTCTGCAGCCCCCAGGGCAGCACTGGCACCTGCAGGACTTCCATGGGCACAAGCAGGTGTGAGATGAGCTCTGTATCAGCACAGACACATCCCAGCACTGATTTCCAGTGAGCTGGACAGCTCTGTGTCAGCACAGACACATCCCAGCACTGATTTCCAGTGAGCTGGACAGCTCTGTGTCAGCACAGACACATCCCAGCACTGATTTCCAGTGAGCTGGACAGCTCTGTGTCAGCACAGACACATCCCAGCACTGATTTCCAGTGAGCTGGACAGCTCTGTGTCAGCACAGACACATCCCAGCACTGATTTTCAGCTCCTGAGCAGGACTGGGATAGTTTTGGGCTCCTCACTCATCATTACTCAATGCCCATTGGGGTCTGGGAGAGGTCCCACTGAGGTAACCACCCTCCTGCCCTATGTGTCTGCTGTAATCTGAATTTACCTGTGACTCTTGCCCACCTGGCTGAGATAGATGTGGCCAGCAGGCTCCTCTGGTGCTCACAGGATGCCTGTGGGCTGTTCCCCATCCCTGTGAGGGGATGGCAGGAATGTCCTCACAGCAGCAACTCCTCAGAGCCAACGCTGCAGCAACCTCTGCCACGCCACTCTGCTATTCCAACACACCCTGGGGAGCAAAAAGCCTGCAGGCTTTCCAGAGAGCTCTGTGAGCTGAAAAGCTCATTATTTCGAAAACTGCCCTTTTGACACTGCCTTTTGGAGATGTAATTGCCAAACGAGAGGAATGTCAGGGTGACCAGGACTGCCCTCAGGACACTGCTGCCATCTCTGAGACCAGACACAGCAGGCTGCACCAGGGGACAAGAGCACAGGAGATACTGTGAAACAGTAAATCTGCTTTCAGTTCAGAAGGAAACATCCAATAACCACATCAAGAAGCCACATCTACTCATTCCAGGGGGACCTTCAAAGTGCTTGTCTGGATTTCTTAAGGTGCTTGGTAGTGAAGGACCCACCTGGGTAAGCAGTGCCCTTCCTCTCCCTGTGTGTGACTGAAGAAACAGATGGGCAGAGATTCTTTGTCTCTGAATTCTGGATTTGAGTTTTTACAGCTGCTCCAGAGGTGTGTTCTGACTGCAGCCCCACACAAGAACATACTGGAGCTGCTGGGAGCTGCACAGAGAGCAACTACACTTTAATTATTTCTCATTTCTTAATATTTACTTTATCCATGTAGTTGAGTACAAGTAAGGAAAGAAGAGGCTTGTGCATTTCTGTTTGTTAGCCTGATTTTCAAAGAGTCTTATCTCTTAGCTCCCTGTTGTATTCCAAGAAATCTCTGAGTGCTGAGCACTTCCAAAGAATAGATGAGGAATGCCCATTTCTATCTAATAAGCCTAACTTGCAGCCAATATTTAAATAATGACATTAAAAACAAGGACAATTCTAGGGAGTTCTAACAAAGCCAGAGAAACTACGACTGCTACAAGCATAAAGAAATTTCCTGTGAATGCCCCACAGAAAACTATTGTTAAGGGAAAAAAAGATCCAAAAAACTAACCCAAGTAAAGAAGAAAAAAAGCTGCATAAAGGGAAAAAGAAGCAGTGCACAAGGTTGCATGCTGCCTGTCAGGCACTCAAGAAGTGTAATTTCAGTGTTTATCTGTGCAATAATGGGAGGCACAGGGGGAAAGGGAGTCTAGAAACATAATAGGGATTTCTGTATGATTTTCACTGCTGTTACAGTATTTTAAAATAAAATTTAAAAAATTAAAGCTATCTTCTACAATTCCAGTGTTCAATAATGAACTAATGTCCCTATAAGGGAGCAACCAAAGTCTTTCAAAAGATGTCCAACCCACAGAAGTGATGAACAAGTGCGAGTTACAGAGATGACTGAACCTGGAGCAAACTGAGAATTAGGCCTTTTTGGGATATTACTCCAAGAAACTGGAATCTTGCTGCTAATGGGAGAAGAGTGCATTTGGCCCATGTGGTAAAGGACTCACTGCTTTTAGCTCATAAACTCCAACAGGAATCAGCCAACAGCACTGGATCCAGAATGAGTTCTGGCAGGAAATGAGCTGAAAGAATACCTTAGAGAGAAGGATGTTCAACTGTGCTTTGGAGACACAGGCAGGAAGGTCTGGATGAGGAATAAAAAGCTCTCATTCTGTATGGCAGCTGAGGCTACAGCTGGCAAGCACCTCTCCAGCTGTGGCGCTGATCTGAAGCCATGGAGTTCAGGTAGCCCAGAGAAGGGCCAAAAGGCTCTGGATGAAATGGAAAATGCCAGAGAAATCTCCAGCACAGGACAAGAGTGTGACAGCATCACTCAGACCAAGAGGGAGCTCACAGGTGTGGCAGCACTCCCAAAACACAGGTGGCTTAACAGATCAGGGCAAGCAGAGCTACCTGCTAAGGACCTGAGGAAAATCCCCCCTTGCTCCACCTCTGGCAGTGAAAGCAAACAGTGTGAGCTGAGAACTGAGCTGCTCTGTGACCTCAGAGCAGGCAGAGCTGAGAGAGAACCCTGCCAATCTGATCCCCACAGTGGCTACAGCAGCAAAAGCTCACACCAGGCGTGGGAGGTGCCAGATGAAATGGGATGATGCCAAAGCTCAGTACTGGAGGTAAAGGACTTCCTTTGGTATTCCATTAATCAGCTACACTGCAGCAGCATCATGCAGCATCCACACATGCTGGAATTTTAATAAAACACAAGTTTGATCTTGCTCTGGAGAAGCAGGAGCATGAAGACAGGCTGGGCTCCACTGCATATTTGAAACTCAGTGGAAGACAAAGAGAGCAATGCTGAAACTCCCAAAATTACCTGTGAGAGCAGGAATCCATGCTCTCCTTTAAATGTGCCACTTCCCTCTTTGAAGATGCTGCCTGTTAGCAGCAAGGGAATCCAGCATGGCCTGACCTGTAAGGCATCACTATCCAAAATCCATCAGTCAGAGAAGGGAATGAGACAGGTAACACTGATCTGCAGGGTCATATCAGGAGGGAATAGCATCTTTTGAAAGAAATAAGCTGAAAATTGTTTACAAGCAACAGCAAAACTTGCACTGAGTACAGATGGAAGTGTTGTGGATGAACATCTCACCTGTGGTGGAGCAGGGCTTGGAAAGATCAACAGCCAGGTAGCTGTGCTCTCCTCTGGTCATTGAAGTGAAAAAGAGACGCAGCCTCCACCAAGAGAATTGCTGTTCTGGGCAACCCACATCCCTGAAACACTTCAAACGGACCAAGAGCTAGAAGCAGGAAAACTGTCTGGAAATAAAACCAGAAGTAAAAAAAAAAACAAAACAAAACAACAACATAAAAAAAAAAAAACAACAACCCCAAACCAAAAAAACCAACAAACCCTCCAACTAAAAATGTAGAGCAGCATAAATACACCTTAGCAGAGGAACCAAAACACATTACAGTCCCCAGAGAAACTTATGCTAACGGACAGTATTTCCAGTCCAAAATAGATAAAGTAACAAACATCTTTAAAGAAACAGGAAAAATAAAGTGTAATTGCTAACAAATTATTTCAGGTATTTATTAAGGAAAATACTGTATAAAGTGCACAACTAGCTTTGTTTTGCAATCAAAATAAGAATGTGCTGAGGCATTGTCAAGATTACCATTGTCAATTTACAATACAGCCTAGAACAGGGGGCAACCTGAAATGCAGCTTTCATGTATTCACATTATTTTGGCCACTGAAGTCTTTAAAGTTCAACCTGCACTTGTGGCTTAAAAAATAAAAAAGTGCCTGTCCTCTGAAGTGCAAGGCAAGAGTTAGAAGTACACACTGATGTAGGAATGTGGCCCCTGTTGACAGAGTAAACAAGTTACCCTCTGTCTCCTTAAAAAGGACAAAAGCCCAAAAGTTTCTCTCCTCAATTTGGTTAAAAGACATCTCATAGGACCTTGGGGACTTCACCTCAAACTTAAGGATAGCCAATTGGACAGGAGCCAAAAAGTCCTGCCTAAGCAATTCACTAGAAAAGAAGAGAACAAAAGATGTAATCGCTTTTGTGAAGTGCTTTAGCAGGAGCAAGAACCTCTTGCCCTGGCTCGGTTTTCTCTGTAAAGAGCTTTTTTATTTTGTCTTTTATTAAAAATTTTTGTTTCTAACACTGTCTCAGGAGCCATCCTGCTACTTTTATGCCACCTGAGGTAGCTGAGCTATCAAGGGTATAATGCTTGTCTATGAGAGCTTATGAGACCTAGCCTGAAGAGAAAAATAATTACATTGATATGGCCAAAAATTAGTAAGACAGAGAGTGAATCAGTAGAAAGACTGAAAAGGAAAGATCATCAACTGCCCTGCTTGAGGGCAGAAGGAAGGAGAAGGGGATTCCAGGGAGGCTCTCACTAAGCTCAAGGACACTCAGGCAAACCAAAGACTTCAGCTGCTGCTGCAATGCTCTGTGCAGGAACTCAGGTGAGGCTTTTCCAACACCAAGAATAAAACTGGAGACCAAATTCCCCAGTGTGCAGCACAGAAGTGTCACACCAGGAGCAGTGATCCTGAGCATGCAGCAGCCATGGCACTCCAACTGCCAACGTGCAAAGGATGCTAAGGGTTTGTAAAGGTCAATGAAGCAGCAGAGGAGTGGGTTATGAAGGAATTTGCAAGACAGGAATGAACCTGTAATAGTAAACAGATGGTTGGGAAAAGGGGAGCAATATGAGAACAATGCAATAATAATTTAAAAATAATAAACCAGAAAAATTAACCACTGCAGCAATGTTACAAACATGCTTCAGGCATGACTTTTCTGTGTCTCAGTTTGTATTTCCAAAGAGGAATATTGACTCCCAATGATCCAGTCCCAGAATCTGCAGGATGGTGAACAAAAACCTGGAACAGTAGTAGAACAAAAGAAGGATGCAGTTCTGGGGCTGGGGAGAAAAAGACAGTAACAGTGAGATAAAATGGAGCAAAACTGTGGATCAAATGAAATAGTATGGTTTGGGATATTGTAGCTAAGAAAACAGTAAACACCGAGTAAAGGCCACAGTGGTGAGAATCAGGATTTCTCCTGGATCGAAAGGAAGAATCTGAATAATCTTTGCATTGTGTGAAATGCTGAAAAAATATATTAACAGCAACTCTGAATACTCAATCAGAACTAACAGCAGAAGAAAATAAATACCTTTTCAAAACCAGTCTCCAAACTACATAACACTATTTGCTAAGAGCAGTGTTGGATTTTTGGTGGTTTGCAGTAAGGGTAATGTCCTGGGGTGACTTTATGATGCTTATAATTTGCCCTAAACCAGGACAGTAACATAGAAAAAAATTCAGGCTAAGACTCTGATGGTACAGAAGTGCTGAGCACCTACATCTACACTGAATGCAATCTAGCATCACATAGTCATGGCAACTTTGAAAATCAGGCTCCAAAAAGATAAAAGCCAAAATTTAGCAGGACAAACCCAGTAATTAAAAATACCTAAAGGCTGTCGCATTCACCTGAAGAAACCAACAAAAGAAATTTAAATCTGAATCCTAAGTAAACTATTAGAGGACTGTCTTTAAGGAGATTCTGTGGAAAAACACCTTGCATGAGCAGGGAAGATTTTAAACATCTCATTTATTCCTTGGAATACAACCTCCTTCTGTCATTGAGGGCACTCTGACAGCTAATGAGGTAGGTATAGTACAACCAAGTCTTTCCTGATAAAAAATTGTGATGGTAACACTTTCGAACTTACCGACTGGCTGACAACAGAAATCATGAAAATGAGTTTATGTATCCCTGAGAGGGAGTATAAAACAGGAAGAACAGGAATCTTCTCCGTAGATTTTGGGAGAAGGGCCATCACTTCACTGCCATGGTGAAAGACAGTGTTATATGAAAGCGATGTATTCACACAACACTGCTGCAGGATACACAGATTTGATAAATGGGGGAGCCAGGAAAGCTAATTGACTTGCCTGTGGCCATGAGAGCAGTCAGTGATAGACCTGGGATTCCTGATCAGCACTTCCTTGCCTCCTGCATCATATTCAGTTCTCTCCTCGCTGGCCAGAGGCTCTCTGCCTGGTTGCTCTAACACACTGTATAGAGATAGTCATGCAAGGGGTGGAGCACAAAGTCACTGAAGAACAGGGCACTTTCTGTGCCAGGAAGCAGATTTCTCCTGGAAGCTGCGTGCAATTGGGAACCTCTGGTGGGAAGCACACATCTGTTTTTTTCACCCTGGAATGTCTGGTGCTTAAGGCTTAGCACAACGAGGACCATTGTAATGACTAAATGGAACAGAGATAGCCCATACAGGCATAAATTACAAGGTGTCTGTCTGGTAGTGAAACAACCTTTTCCCTATGCTCTTTTGACCCTTAAAAACAAACATTAGCCTGCTTAATTCAGTGGACTCATCACATCCAACCACAGATCAGTCTATATTTCCATGTCCACAGGTCGGATGTCTCCAGTTTTGTGTTCTTTTACCCACAGTTCCCTGTCTTTGGCAGGATCCACTTTCCGAAGCAACTGATCCACAAGTTCTACTGTCTGAAATGAAGAAAACAAGAATCCAAATGTCAAGGGCACACTTCAAGCAGAGAGTCATTGCTCTGACATGCAGAGCAGCTGTGGGCATGCCTACACTGCATCTGCAGACAAGTGAGGGCTGCACCTACATGAGACTGGGTGGACAAGACAGGTCTGAACGGAAGCAGAGAAGAGGGAGACTTAACATGATGAAGCAGAGACAGGTTTCCTGTGCCAGGCAGCAGCCAGGCAGCCTCTGACCCTGTCCTGCAATCTGCACCTTACACCAAACACAGCTGTACTGAGTCAGCGTGCATTCCCCATGCTTTCTAATTTGATAAATAGCCAGTTTTTAATAAGGAAATATATATACACTCCCTTTTCCAACAGTGAAACAATTCAGCACAAACAGAACACCACATGGAGTAGTACATCATGCTGGGAGAGCTACTAATGGCTCATGCTGGCCAAGTGCACTTCAGTTGGCCGTGTCTCCCTCAGGAAAGAGCTGTGATCCAGCAGCAGGAACTGTGATGAGAGAGTCCTGCACTGCAGGGAGGCACCACAGCACTGCTGCAGACACTTCCCCCACATCCTCTGACAAAAGCCAGTCAGAGCAGGTCAGGAGGGACCATTCTGCTCACTTGAGGGCAGTGGAGGTACACAGAGCAAACAAAAAGCACACTTACACTTTGGTTGAACATGTCTGTCTCGTGCCGCAGCTGTGTGTACTGGCACAGATGCTGCCGAATCATCTCCACCCTTTCAACTTCTAGTCTCTCAAGCTCCTGGACATGAAGAAAAACAAGTCCATATTTTTACTGGAACCTGAGCTTGGAGGCCCAGAGAAAGGATGATACACAAAAGGCTGCCAGTAGGTGCGATACTGCCCCAGGGTCATGCTTGGGAGCTGGACTCTGTGGTTGCACATTCCTCTGCTCTGCAAAGAATAAGAAACAGCAAGCAACAGCAGTCATCTCAGCCTAGCAACGGAAAAGATGGTCAAACCTTTCCAAAAGGTTCCACAACTGAGACAACCAAGGCAGAGAGAGGAGCCACTGCCTTCAGAGATGCTGCAAGCAAGAGGGAATCAGTTTCCTGCAAGAAGTTTTGTGGGCTTTATTGCTAGCTACAGAAATGACAGTGATTCCCTGGGGCAGCAGAAAGCACGCTGGGGGGGATGGCTCATTCCAACCAGACACTGTCAGAGCACAGCTCACCAGATGATGAGCTGGGACAAGCTTCCCCCTTGCTCAGCTGGCAGTAGGCAGAACCCAGCAACACTTTAGTTGGAAAGGCAGGTGATTTCTGTCTTTCCTCCTGATATTTTCTGCCTCCCTCTCCTTCTGGATTCTGATATTATACCCCAAAATCTGCATTTACACTGAATACACTGAGCACAGTGTGCAGTTTGGGGCACTACAGTATAAAAAAAAGACCTTAAGCTGTTAAGACTGTCCGAAGCAGGGTCACAAAGACAAAAAAAGGTCTGTAGGGGAAGCCTTAGGGGAGGCTCTGGTGAGATCCCACCTGGAGCACTGCAGCCAGCTCTGGGGCTGGCAGCACAAGAAGGATGTGCAGCTTCTGGGCTAAGTCCAGAGGAGGCCACGGAGATGCTCCAAGGCAGCTTGTAGCAAGCCAGGCTGAGACAACTGAGGCTGTTAAGTCTGCAGAAGAGATGGCCCTGGGGAGACTTCAAAGAAAACTGTGAAATTGTGGAATAGAAAAATTCCTTAATGTATAAATGGATTTGATGATTTATCGTGTGTTTTTCTGTGTTTTTCTTGTGCTTTACTTCATCCTTCCTAAGGAAAATTTCAGTGTTCTGGCCCCTAAGCAGCCCTGAACTGGTTTAATGCCTTCTGCAAAGAAATGATTATTTCTTCTTTCCCCTGTTGATGAGTTTTTCTTAGGACTGAGAACGGGATAACCAATGTGAGATTCATCACCCGATTTTCCCCACTGCTCTGCACCGAACTTGCTGTGAATGATGAATACTGCAGGCTGTGACAATTCTGCAAGGGCTGTTTTAGATGTTACATACCAGAGTGGTGGTCACCATCTCCTCAAACCACTTGGACTGGGCTTGATTGTAAAGATCCACACAGCGCATCAGGTCATCCCCTGGAAGAGTCAAAGCAGCAACACATCACTCTTGTCTAGCCAGAGCTTAGCAGGAAAGTGCAGGTAGGTTTTGTAAACCCCAAGGATTTGAAGATGAACCCTGTTGGAGCTCAGAGGAGTTGGACCAACAGTTCAACTAAATGCATGCACTTGATATATGGCAAAAAAAGCAGGTGACTGGGGTGAGAATGAATAGGGGGCAAGGACAAGAGTTTGAAAGAAAAATATAAGCATTAAGAGTAGTATTTTACAAAATGCCCAGAAAAAAAAAAAAAAAAGGCATGGATGGAAAGTTGTCTTTGAAAAATAAAGTAGTTAAAATGGGAAATCAGCAATGGTGAGTTATGGAACTGCAGGGCAGCACTCTGTAGGTGCGACTGCAGTCTAAGGGGTCTCTGTCTCAAAGGGGAGGGATACATCAGGCCCAGCTGTTGGATGAAGGGATGCCTCATGCATGCTCCAGCCTCTGTAGATGCCCAATTCCACCTATCCTGAAGTTTTAAAAACCTCAGAACTCTGAGGGACCACTCTGACAAGGAACAGCCTTTGCTGAAGGGATGAATCATGGAAGGCCTAGCTAAAACTCCAGCTCCCTCTGTGACCAGGGCAGTAGCACAAGAAGCTGCAGTCCTTCCCATTTTGTTCTTTGTTGCAGGACTCTGCACTGACAGAGGGGGAAAAGCAGGTGGCAAACTTGGAAAAGAATTCTCAGAGATTGCTGCTTTCCAGGTAGGAAATTCTCTTTGTTCTTTAAATGAGGCTCAATTTCTCTTTCCCTCTCTGATCTTCAGCTCTCCCTTCCTTGTTCAACAAAAATCGATTATGAACAATTTCTAAGGACCTGAGGAACAAAGAGAGACTGTGAATTTTCAGGGGAATAAAGACCATCTCTTACAGAGCCTCCTGTTCTTAAATCATAACTTTGATTTCTCCTCAAATGATTGCCTGTACACATGGTCACATTGCCAGGGACTCTTCCCAGACTCCTTAAAGCCCAGACACATATCCTGAACTTCTAAAAAAACCTCAAAACTCTGAAGGACCACTCTGCCAAGGAACAGCCCTTGGTGAAAGGATGAAACATGGAAGGCTTAGCTAAAACTTATTTTCAGACAAGGTACTGAGCAGCATGTATCAGCTTTGCAGATCTCAAAAAAGTTCCTGATGGATCCTCAGATGTGGCTTGAGCCTCTGTAAAACATGCACAGGTCAGAGGAACTGGCTGTATCCTCAGTACAGGACAGCACACACTACTATATCCTCAGCATCCCTAGAAGAGAAATTATTTTAGTCACTGAGTAGCAGTGGGAAAAAAAAACCCCAAAAAAAATCACTTTCAAGGAAAAAGACAGTAATAGTAAGTGTAATAGCACCCACAAAGTTGTGGGTGAGTGTGATTTAGGAAAGAACCAAGGAAGGAACTCTGATTTATGGAAGAAACACCCTCAGCTAAGCTTCTCTGAATCTGACTTCGGAAGTTCCACAAACATTCAGTAATCTAAGGACACCTTCATGAAACAGATAACTCACCCTACTTTTGCCATTCTCACCTCAATTATCAATAATTTGTGACAGCTGAGTTGGAAAAACTAGGCTTGTTTCTTTTGAGGATTTAACACCATACAGATCTGTAGAATGGTTCATTTTGACTTTGTTTTTACAATATTAAAAACAAGCACCACGTGGATGGATTCCACCTGGCTCTTGCTGTGTGCTGAAGGGCACAGGTACTCACCTGCCTGGGTGGACTTCCTTCGGGCCTTCTTGATCTCCTCTTCTGTCTTGTTGCTGAGTTTCACCTCTAGCTGCTGTGTTTTCATTTCCAGATCCTTCTGCCTCTCTGTCAAGGCTTTCCGGGCCTTGGAGCAATGAAGGAGAGTCAGAAGTTACAGAGAAAAAGATCTGGCAGCTGCTTTCATCCACCTAGGACTCCTTCACACAAGTGGTTCTCAGCAAGGAGTCAGTAACTTTGCATGGAACTGGGTCCTACCAGGGATTCAGGTTCTTACAACACCATGTGGAGCTCACAGAAGTGTCCTGTGGCCACAAAGGAGTCACCACCAACAAATCACAAACTCATCTGAACTCTTCACAGAGTCTGAGAAAGGCAAAGGACTAACGGCATCATCAGGCTCTCCTGTTTCTCAATAGTTTTCTCATTGTTTCTGGAAGAAAAGAGAGCTGGAGCCTCTTTCAAATGTCTTAAACAGCATCATGACCAAGACACCTCTTCCATTCACTTTTCTTAGGATCTGAATCATTGAAGTAATTTCAAGTATCTTACAAAATTTGTCTTTTAAGTAAGTTCTGGACTCAAGGTACACCGATCACAAACTAACAATAGGAACTTAATTCAGAAAAACTTATTCAGGCTCATGCCAACAGTAGAAATCAAGTACCTGAGGTCTGCTTACAACTGATGACTTAACTACTTTACTTAGAAGTTCTTCAAGCTGTTAAAACCTGATTTATAAGTACAAATATATATTATATAGGTAGATTTGTAGAGCACCTTAACAAATAAACATTGTTACATGCAGGCTGATAAACACATAAAAATCACTTGCTTTGCATGGATTTGTTATAAAACATGTCACATTTGTTCTTTATACGGTACTAATGTTTCAAACTAAATTGGCATGACTGTATTTTCTTAGAACTTTGCAGTTTTTTACAGTCACACCAGCCTAAATGTTACAGGTCTGCTGAAGCATTCTTGGAATTTTTATCATGTGCAGTTCCAAGGCCCTGGTGGGTCCTGCAGATCTGGAGAGGGAGCTGCAGGAGAGATGCAGGGAGTGCTCCATAGTCATAGCTCTTCCCTTCTTCCCAAGGTAATTCTGAATTCACTCTTCCCAATTGCTACTGAGTTGCTTTGCAGATAAGAGTGTGAAGAACTTCGTGTTTTGCAGAGAAATGCCTTCCCTGCAGACACTCAGCCTAACGACCTTGTGTATCCTGCCATAGCTCTGTCCCTGGGGAACTCCTGCTGAGCTTTAATGAAAGCACAAACAGCTTCAGGGATGACTGGGAATGGTATTTTCCCTGCCAATTTACACCCAAAAGCAAACTCATGAGGATACAATTTGGCAGCTGAGACACAAGCATCCCCATTTCTGCCAGCTGCTGCTGGGAGATCGTATTTTGTGGGTCTAACTCCTTGCACCACAACCTCAGCCACCTCCTGCTTGGTGTTACATCAGCCCATTACGGGGTGCTCCTGCTGTTTGGATTTTTTCAGTGAGGATGTTTCTTGTGAAGGGTTTGTGATTTGCCAGGCCAGGGTCCAGCTGCTTTTGGCCACGGAGCCAGGCGAACCTCTGACCTGACCCTGCTGCCATTCTGAGGGAAGGTGCCCTGAGTTTTGAAGACAATAGATGCACAGTAATAAGAAGTATTTGCATCAAATTTATTGCCCCAAGTTGGCAAGGGGAGGATGAACCAAAAAGCCACTTCAGCAGCAGGATGTTTGCCACTTACTTGCCAGATCTCAGCTAAACACCGAACTATTTCTGGGCAAAAAAACCCCTATTTCTGGGGCTGGGCAAAGCACAGCTAACAGTGAAAGCCCTCAGCAGGAACAGCCGTGGTCCTTTGTGACAGAACAGAAACTTGCTGGGCCAGCTGCTCTTCTCAAAGCAGCAGTGTCTCAAAGCCTCCAGGCTGCTCCCACCTTTTCCACAGCCGTGTAGCGGCTGGCCAGGTGCTTCCGCAAATCCGCGATGTGGTGGTCACACTTCTTCATGTCCTTCTTGAAGTTCTCTCTGAAGTTGAGCAGGGGTTTCTCTACCTCGCTCTGGAGCTGGCAATGAAAACAAAGAAATGGCACTAATGAGGAGCCAGGCAGTAATTCCTGGCACTTCACACAGCTACAAAATTGTTAAGCTGGAAAAAACCTCCAAAATCATCGAGTTCCATCTTCAACCCAGGGCTGCCAGGTCCACCACTAAACCCTGCCCCTAAAGTGCCACATCCACGTGTTTCTTGCACACAAACAGTAGGAAAGATTTGGAGGATGCTACAGGAGTTTCTGTGCAGAGTTTAAGGAGAAGTAAAATAATGGAAAAGCCCCTTTCGACCTGGCCTGCCTACACACACATCACTCCAAGGCGCATTTTTCCTTTTGGAAAACAGTACAGGAGGACAATGGGGAGCAAAAAGTATTTCACTAATTACAGGCCTGATGTCGAAGTTTAAGGCAGAGCAGTGGGTTACCAAGGCAGCAGCTGGTTGCCTGAGTAACCTCTGCTGAATTGCTTACAAATGGTGCAGAGCTATAATTTTCCTCCAGAACATGGCTGTTGTGCTGAGATATCTGCCACTATATTGAACTTGAACACCTACAGAGGTTACCAGAATGTAATAGGATTTAAGAGCATGTCACATGTGGTGGAAAAAACCCAGATAAATACCATAATTTGTAAAAGAAATCTCCTTGGGCATCACTTGAGATGAAACCCAAAAATAACATGATGTTCCCAGCAGACTTTTGAGAAAGGCTAATGATACAAAAAAAGCCAGAATTCTGGTTCTCTTTTTTCCAGACAGGTAGATTCCTGTTGAGAACCCAAATATTGCTTTTCATTTCTTCCTTTGCAGAAGTGAAGTGTACAAGCACTAGTTAAATTTACTGGCTGGAACACAGAGCCCAGGTGAACAACATCTAGAATCAGTTTTATTTCTTTTTTATGAAAAATTAAAGCTAGATGTGTTTTAATTTACTCATCAGGTAGACGAAATAACCTGATTTTGGAAGGAAGACTGGACAGAGTTTCAGTAAGTTTGTTCACCAACTTATTAATTCTTCTAAATTTGTACCACATGCATGTGTATTTCCCCACTAACATGCACTGAAGGGAGAGGCCCACCAATTGAAGGCAAGTATCTTTGGAAAAGAAAGAACCATTTACCTTGGAAGAAAATTTGAGATGAACCTCTGCTTCATCAGCTAAACTCTTCTTGAGCTGAGCCCAAGCTTCTCCCAGTGTGCTGAAGGAAGAGAAGGACAATGATCAGTCCCTCTGCCATCCTTCCTCGTGGGATCCGTCAGAGAAATCTGGCACAACACTTTGTACCATATCTTGATCAGCAAAATCATGGAAAAGGGTAACAGAAATCTGAGGAAACAACCAACCTTTGTGACCAAGGCAGAATTATGTTGGCATTGTTTGCAGCAGATCTTTGAAAACCCAGTTCATGACAATCTCCACTTACAGAGACACCAGAGCCTCCCTAAGCAAGACCCTTCAGTATCTTATCCTCACCATAACAAAGTTTCCACCAATGCAGTTTTTTTTGCCTCCTCTGCTTTACACCCTACTTCGGAGAACAAATTTTCACTTCAGCTGAAAAGTCTCGGAGAAGCTTTGCAGCACTCAAAAATCTCTCTGTTGTCTTGTTCTTTCAGAGTATTTCCAGGACAGTGGCAGCTGAGGCACACTCCTCCAGATCCTCTACGACAGCCCAGACTCCTCTTAAAGCATCATAACCAAAACTACACTGTCCCCAGCACAGTACAACTCCAGGGGCTAAACTGGTAACAGATCCTTTTGTATCAGACACTCTTTCTTCTACATATTTCAATGTGATTGCCTTTTTAGACAACAGCATGAAGTTGTTGATGAATAAGCTTGTGATTCACTATAGCCAGATCCTTCTCCCACAAACTGTTATGTAACTGTATCTTTCACATCCTGTGAAAGTATAAAACCCGCTGCTTTGTCCTCATTAAAATGCATTTTTTTTTCAGTTAATTTCTCCATTTTAACATGAGAATTCTGAATTGCAACCTTTTTTTTCAAATTACACATTCCAACCCTCCTATCTCTATCACATTTCTGAATACAGTAAATCCATCATTTCTTCTATCATAGGTTGTTCATTACAAAAACATTTTAAAACCCCCTGGACTGAGGACAAACCCTTTGGGATCTCATTCCACAGCTACTTTCTGCAGTTTAGCTTCTGTAAGCAGTGGGTTTTTCCTACCTAGTTTTTTGCACATTAGGTTTTATTTAGGCCACCATTTCTCTTGTCTGCCTACGAGAATCTCCCATCACAAAAAGCAATACTAAATTAAGAGCTGTGATGCTTGACCTACTCTCTTACTCCATCACTGAAGGAATTTAGGTTGGCTTGGCATGGTTCTCTATGCATATAAAACAACTGCTCATCTCCTTCTTTTTGAAAGTTTGATGGTTTATTCCACCACTCTGCAAAGGTTAAATAAAGCTGAGTGATATACAGTTCCTGGCTCTTTCTGTCTCTTCCCTATCCCTTTTCAAGGATAATGAGATTTGACTGTTCTGATAGCCTGAAAAATCACCTGTCACCTGCAATCTCAAACTAATGATCCGTCACCTCTGATGCTGCTGCAAGGACTTGAGTATGGAATGTGATGTCCATCAGCTAAACAACTTAGATATACCTACTTCAGAAGTGCTCCCAATATTGCTCCTTCCCTGAGGTCTTCTCCCACTGCCCAGTTCCCACTGACACTAATTACACTAATTACAGATAACACCTGTTATCTGATCCAGGAAGAGCACCACTGGACAGTGCTTTCAGCTCCCTGCACTCTGCACTATGCCCTTTCCAGCTCCCTACTTCAACATTTCTTAGGCTTGAGCGCTCATTCCCTTTCTCTCTTTTCACCTACTCTGCCCTAGTTTCCTTCCCCTTCATTGTTTGTCATCCCCTCCTATTCTCATTGGGGGCAGGAGAACGTGGAAGGAAGGAAGATGTGGAAGAAAGTGGGTTTGGCTTTGCTAGGATCAGCTGAGCGTCCCCTAAGGAGAAAGGAGGGCAAAAACCACTGCCACTGGAGGTGCTCGGGGCAGTAACAGCCCAGTTATCCTCTTACAATTTTGTCCTTGCCTCCTGGAAGCTGAGCAAAACACCTCCTGCAGCTTCAGTGCTGGCAGAAACACACTGTGTCAGAGGTGAGTACACACATTTCCAGCTTTGGCCTTCAGTGCTCAGAGGGTTTCTGGTGAAACAGGCAGAGCTACCAAGTTCTCATCCTTCAGGAGTGGTGCCTTTGCATTATTCCTGAAGAACTGCACTGCCTAGTGTCTTCTTTATAACCTCCCAAGTGTGAAAATGTTGGAAATAAGCAGCAGTCTTCTGCTTTTCTTGAAGAGCCAGAACCCTGATGAGAAGAGATTGCTTTATCCTCCCTCCTGTCTGTGCTGCTCTGATTGTACCAGCATTGACCTTACACATCTAGTCTCACTAGTGTAAATATTTATATATATATATATTATATATTCTTCCATTTCCAAAGTAGTTTAGCACACATACATGCTAATCCTGGAAGGAACTAGTCCTGGCTACAACGAGGACAGCATATAAACCTGACTGGAAAGGCAACATTTTATACACATATTCCTAAAATGCTTCTCACTAACAATCTAAAAAAAAAAAAGCCCAAACAAACAACTCCGAAGTAATTCCATCTTCCCCAACATGCCCAGGGTGCTAATCTAAATAAACCTCTACTCAGAGGGAGAGAGCTAGGGAAAATTACTTGTACCTGCGTGGGAGAAATGCCTTTTATATTAAAATTCATCTTCTGTGGAAGTCACAGAGACACACTTACCCTTCTTCCTGAGCAGCCAAGGAATTCTGAGACAGTTTGGACAGGTTCTTAGCATATTCCTCCTCAATCTTTATCCTACACTCACATACACACAGAGAGAAAATAAAAAGACAGCAATAAGTAAGCTTTAAGGCAGAAACCCACACACATAATTTGAAGAAATTCTCTGCATTTTAACAGATTTTGCCACAGGAATTTTCCTTTCAGTCTCCAGGGCTTGGCAGCTCCAGCACCAGTTTGATGAGCCGTCTTCTCCCCCCATATGCTAAAAATGCAGAGGCAAGAGCAGGGCTATATGCAGGACGGCATGTGAGACAAAATTAGCTGCAGAAGCTACAGTTCTGGAGAGCAAGTAACAAGGACAGAGTGTTTCTGCTGTGCAACACGGGCTGTCTGCAAAACCAGGAGCAGGTGGCTCAGTCTGCTGTGAAACGCGAGGCTGCACATCCTTGAGGCAAAAACGAAGGAGTGCAGCGACCCAGAGAAAACCCAAGTGAGATTTGGGGGGCTGAAGTGCCCCTTTCTCAGGGACACCAAAGGCTTCCTGCTCTCTGTTATGGGTGGCAAAGCATGGCAGAGATGGCACACAGCTGGTGCAACCCCTTCCTCTCACTGTCCTGTTCTTCACCCGCTTGGAGGCACCAGGAACAGGAGCTGAGCTGGCCAGGGGCAGGGGAGCAGAGGAGGAAAGGTGTTGGCACACAGCTGCTGTGGGAATGACTGCAGGGAGCAGGAGGAGCTGTGGAGTGAGGGACAAGGTCTGTGCTGACAGCCCAGCAGGGAGGAATGAGCAGCTGCTGGTGCAGAGGTGATGGGCGTCCTGCCTGAAACCATCTTCTGCCAGCAGTGAAACAACTGCGAGGTGCACATGCTCCCAGGAACAGCAAACAGCTGTCTGCTCACTGGTTTTCAACCCAGCTCACCTGACAGAACACCTGTGACACAGCAGTGTAGCCCCCAGGTAGAAAACTCCTGATTCTGTGCCAACTATGCACGAGCAGGGGCAAAACCTGCTCTGAAGTGTTTCTCAGGTGGGGTATTCCTGGCAGTCCCATTTGCAGGATATAGTTTAGCAAATGCACTTTTGTGGGGTACATCTGAGCTGAAAGGGGTCCCCTGAGATAGCTGAGAGGGATCTGATGCTTTGGGCTGCTGAAAATACCCTGGTGGATGGTGTGGGAGGGGAAGTGCCACGCTGCTGTTATGCTCAGAGGAGCTCAGGGGAGGAGCAGGTCTAGGTGCCACAGCTGACAGCTCCACAGCCAAGCCATTGACTGGGATGCTCCATCCAGCTGTCTGGGATGCAGCTGCCTGAGGTCCAAGGTGATAGCCAGCTTGGTGTGACACAGTCCTACAGACCTTACCCACAGCTTTCACTTTTTTTTTTTTTGTTTTAAGTACTTTGTGTGCTCACACTGAAATAATTTCAGTCCTGACATATTATGGTGGTTGAAGAAAAACTAGAGAGCTGCAAAGGGAGGCAAAGATGATCTGATGTGACTGCCATGCAAGAAGAAACTAAATAGATGAAGACAACAGGGGGAACAGGGAGAAAAGGTGGTAGAGGATATCTGACAGACAGCTCCACAACTGCCACTGAGGGAAAACTCTGAGTCTTTTTACACTGCTCCTCCAGATGAGGAGGGAACAATGAAATTATCAGACATAATTACTTCTCCTGTAGTGCAGAGACTGCAGAAGTCTTCCACAAATTGCTGCAGACAAACAGTGAAAGGTGCATGTATGGATCTGCTGAACATGGCAGAAGCTAAATAATCTGCTATTTAACTTACATTTTCTAAACATAGCACTGCTTAATTAAGAAGTGAATAATGGAAACACTTTGCTAATGGAAACACTACTTCTTATACCTGGTGCTTCTCAGGGCACTGTGCAGATGGTTTTGGCTGTTTTGGAGCTTTCCTGAATGCAATTTCTGGACCTTATTTTCACTTTTGATTTAAAGTAATACCTTCTTTCACACCAACACCCTGGATTTTTCAGCTCAGTATATTTATTAATTACTTTACTCCCTTTCTTGAGGCCTGTCTTCCTAAAAGTCAAAGTCTGTGACTATTTGACTTTCATAACCCCACCTCTGTCAACAAAAACTGAATGAACATGTATTTGCTCAGTCTGAGGTCATATATAAAAGAAGCTCCTGGAAAAGCATCAAATTGATAAACCAAATTTCAGTTAGCTTCCCTCTTGATGGATATTTGATGAAGAAATCTGGTTGTCATGTTTTATACCAGCTTCCTATTGAAGGGCTGGTTTTAATAGCTGCCTGAGTCTCACCTTTAGCAGGCTGATCTTACACAGAGAATTTTCTGGGCATGAAAATTCCCAGTTAAATGTGGTCTTGTGTTCCCCGAGGCACCTGATGGTCATAATGAAAACCTTATCAGTATTTCAGCCCTCTTAGTGGGAAGAGAGGTTCCCCTCATGGCCTGAGCTCTGTTTCCATGAGCAATCTCTCTAATGTTCAACACCACCCTCCTCCTTTTCCACACAGAACAATCCTGATCCTTTGTTACAAACAGATGAAAAATGTAATAATCTGTCTGTAACTCTCATCCAGACCCTCTTCACACTCAATTCCTAATCTTTTTTTTGTTTCCAGCACACAGTGGATCTTTTCTTTCCTCTCCAGCATGCCTTCTTCTTCCTCTGCTGAGGACAGGCACGCCTCCCCACAGTGTCAGAGCTGCTCTCCTTGCTCTCTCTAATTTCACACCAACTTTCCTTTCCTCTTGAATGCATCCTGCTTTTATTTCTGTCAAATTTCATTATATATTACTTCCTTTGAGGCAGCTTCCCCCTCTTTTCCCTTGCTATCATAATTCTGTTTGCCTTCCTTAGCATTCTAGGAAGCATTCAATTCATTTGCTCTCCCTTAGCATTCCTATTTCTCAATTGTATTTTTCATGTTGCAGGTGGTTCTTTCTTCTACCTCTGGTCACACTGTAACTGCCTCTTGGACTATCTGATCTCAAAGGCTACAGAAACCTCTGCTCACCATTATTGCCTGTGACACTTTGCATTTTCCCACTGCTGCCACATCCCCAGCATGAAAAAAAGGCAAGAGGGAGAAACAAAACAAACTATAAATGAAGCAATTATCTGCAAGTTCAGGTGAACTGCACCCTGAGAAGAAAAGGCTCTGGGGAGAGGTCAGAGCCCCTTGCAGGGCCTGAAGGGGCTCCAGGAGAGCTGGAGAGGGACTGGGGACAAGGGATGGAGGGACAGGACCCAGGGAATGGCTCCCACTGCCAGAGGGCAGGGATGGATGGGATATTGGAATTAGGAATTGTCCCTGTGAGGGTGGGCAGCCCTGGCACAGGTGCCCAGAGCAGCTGTGGCTGCCCTGGATCCCTGGCAGTGCCCAAGGCCAGGCTGGATGGGGCTGGAGCAGCCTGGGGCAGTGGGACGTGTCCCTAGACATAAAGATGGCAAGGGGCTGGAATGAAATGATCTTTTATGTCCCTGCCATCCCAAACCATCCTGTGGTTCAAGCTCAAGCCCAAAGTGATGTCTTTTTAAATCTTCCTCTAGGAGACTGTGCCTATGTTCCATGTGGACAAATTGCTTCTGTACTTTTCAGACAAAATATTTCCCTTCTAAGTATCACCTCCACTCTGCTTCTCTCCTGTTTATGCTTTTTCCTTGAATCTGCAGCTTAAAACCTTCTTGGTTCCCTCTAAACAGCCTTTGTGCAATCCAGCTCAGACAGAGCACAAGAGACAAGTGAGAGCTGGAGAAGCCTGGAAAGTGTAGATGAACACTAAAGAAATATGAAATGTTCATTAAGAACTTGTAACATATCTTTTATGCAGTTCAAGCTTTAATACATTTAAGGAATACCTAAACTGGGAATGAACAATTGCAATAAATATTGAATTTGATAACCAAGTGCTAGTTACCTTTCTCGAACAAACTCTGCCATTTCTTTCTGCATTTGTTTCCCTTTAAGCTGCTTTTGAAGAAGAATTTCAAATCCCGACACTGTGTTGTTCCCTTGTGAGTCCTTCTTATCTGCCTGAAAGAAATAAAAGGAAGTTCAACAACACGTTTTGGAGGCCAAACCCACAGAGATGTAGTGCCTGAGGAACCCTCCCCTGAGAGCAGCTGGTGGCTCTAGCTCCCCAGACCCTCTCAAAGAAATAGCCCAACACTCTCCTGCTCTTCCTACTCATTTTTTGGGTTATTTTAATTTAAAAAGGGAAGCTTTATAATTATCCTTAGCCAGCACAGGATGCTGTGGGGGCCAAAGGGTTGGATGGGATATTGGGAATTAGAAATTGTTCCCTGGGAGGGTGGGGAGGGGCTGGCACAGGGTGCCCAGAGAAGCTGTAGCTGATCCCTGGGTCCCTGGCAGTGCTCAAGGCCAGGTTGGATGGGGCTGGGTGTAGGGTTATCCATCCTTTCCAACAGCTGGGAGCAAGCTGGGACAGTGGAAGGTGTCCCTGCACATGACAAGGGTTGGGACAGAGTGGGATTCAAGGTCCTTTCCGACCCAAAGCAGTCTGGGATTCTGGGATTCTATTCCCTTCCTCCTGCACTGCCCTTATGCCTGTGGTATTTTGAGACACATGGCTTGTCCTGCATCCTCCTATTTCCTGAGCAAATCCATCTCCTAAGAACTGCCCTTGCCTTTTTTTCTCTGATGATCAGCCATTTGTCAGACTGGTCAGATGTTTCCAGGAGATCCTCACTGGCATCACCAGTCTCTGTGGTACTCCCTGAACACATTGTATCTCAGCCCAAATTCCCCTTTACCTTGTACCACAAATCAAGCTGTTTATTCCACTTTCTTGGAAGCTCTGGAGCTGCATGTGGCATGTGGCTGGCTGCCCACTTACCCAGAAATAATCACAGTAGCTCCACTCTGAAGGTTTCAGCAACTGCTGCTCTGGCATTACGTCAGGGTGGGGGAAAGTCACACAGTTGATCTGTTAAAAAAAAAAAAAAAAAAAAAAAAAAAGGAGAGTTAGACAGTAATGAAATTTAGCTGTTAATGAGAAATACGTAAATAAAAAGTTATATCCATCAGAAAATCTGCAGTGAATGCATGTCAGGGAAGAAAAACTGGCTGTTGCATAGAAACAGCAGCTAAGTATTCCCAGAATGCTATTCTCTGCAGGCAGGAGTGTTGGCTCAGAGGGAAATAAACTACCCATTTCACATGTAGAGGAAAACCTACTGGATTTGGAAAGCACCACGCGGGGAGTTCTCCCAGATCCCTGAAAACTGTGGTGAGAAACCTGATGTGAAACACCCTGAGCACACAGTGAGCACCAGAGAGCACTGCAGGCACTGTCGGTGCAAAACACCCGTGGCTATGCCAGTCTCCTACAGGATGACAAAAAAAAGAAATTTTTTTCAGTGCACAGCCCTTCAATCTATCTCTAGGACCTTTTCAGATGGAAGTGATGCTCTGCAGAAAGGAGCAGGGGCTCTATGGAGTCAGTGAACCTTCAGTGTTCACAGCGATCTGTCAGACAGGGCTCATCACACGGTCATTAAACAACAGCATCCAAAAGCCCAAGTGCTCATTAAGTTATCCCAGTGGAACACTGCAGCCTGGTAACAGCACAGAGAAGGCAATGAGCACCACAGCTACTGCAGAGCAGCCCTGCACACAGCTGAGCCTTTCAGGGAAGCACCAGCAAGAGTCAGAGCTCACTGCCATTTGTAAGGCTCACCCCAAATCCCTGCTGGGCAGTTACCCTAAAATCAGCCCCAATCAGGGTCATGGGAACACAAAGAGCACTTAATCAAGGGATCAAGAGACACTGGGGATGGGATGTCACAGATGTAACTGTATGGGTGGGGGTTTGTTTTGGATCAGTTAACTCTCACAGGAAACCCACACACAAATCTGTGGGCAGGGCTGGCACAGCTGCAGGGCAGACCCAAAGGCACGCAGTGAATCTGCCTTTGGGCTATCCAGGGAGCATCAGAAAGGATGTGGCTGCTGGCACAGCACAAACCCACCATGCCAGAGCAGAGCAGGCAAAACCTTTAGCTGACACAAGCTGCTGCTACAAACCCACACTGGTTCTGCTGCCTCTGCCCAGGCTGGAGGTTCAGCAGCTGCCCTGTAACAGTGCAAGAGCTTGCTCCACATAAATCACCCTGCCCAGAGCTTGCCAAGCCCACCCCAAAGCAGGCTGAGGATATGTGCTGTCTTTGGCTGTCACCTCAACCAGATCCTAAACCATGTATCTCGCTTCCCAGCTCCCACCAGGCTCCAAGCTGACCTGCAGGGCAGAGATCTGGGCTTTGCAGGCAGTGGCCATGCTCTGGTGACCCTGCACCTCCAACCAGGAGCCAGCCTCTCCAGCTAGAGCAAAAATGTCCCGTCAGAGCCAGCACCTCCAACCAGAGGCAGCATCTCCAACCAGAGGCAGCATCTCCAGACAGTGCCAGCCTCCAGCCAGAGGCAGAATGTCCAGGCAAAGGCAGCACCTCCAACAGAGCTGGCACCTCCAACCAGTGCCAGCCTCCACTGGCCACAGGGCCCCAAGCACAGACAGCACTGCAAACACCCTCCCTGCTCCCTTGTGTTCCCCATCACAAGAGTCATGCAGCAGGAGCTCCAGAACATCAGCTCACTTCAGAGCAGGATGGCCATGTCTCACCAACTGCACCTCCCAGCTGTGTTCTGCAGCCTCTAACAGAGGTCTGGGCATCACAGAATCATAGAAACATAGAATATCTTGAGTTGGATCATTGCATCGTGGCACTGCACACCAGGACAGGGAGGTGAGCTGCAGTGGGGGGAACAGGAATTGTATCCTGCAGCTTAAAAAACAGCAAAGAGAAAGAGCATGGGAAATTCCCATTCCCTGCTAAAGGCAGTGCCTGCTCCACAAAAACTGAATCTGTGTCAGCTGGAAGCTGCTGATTAGAGATGTGACAGTGAGTCTCAGTGTCCTGAAGCAATAACCACAGAGTCACTGGAAATGCCAAGGCTGGACTGGTGACAGTGTCTCACTGCAGTGGACAGAACTCCAGGAATGCAGCAGGAAGTGGAACAGTGAGTGTGCACATCAGCAGGTGATCAAAGCAGGGTTAATTCAAGTGTTTCTCAAAGTTTCAGGAATAAATTGAAATATTTTTTACTTATCTAAAGACTGAATTATCTGGAAACGATGCTGAATTTCTGGAAAAAGTCATGAGGCCATTTGGGTCTCACTTTTAAAAGGGAAATGGTGCCAGAATTAAAAAAATCAAAAATGCAGAAGCTTTTACAATCTTAAAAACAAAAACAAAGTATTATGGTAAATGGAATTTAACAGAACATACATCTTTTTACACTAAGTCCCACCAGGGGGCATGAAAATTTTCTAAACTCTAGAAATACTACTAAAAATTCTGTACTACAGAGGTAATCCTGTGATCTTTGTTTCCTTTCATTACCACAGATTTCTTACACTTAAACAAGAGCTCTTGGATTGGTATTTCCTAGCATTTCTAAAACCTCTCAGGATTTCCCAGCAGGAGGGGAACACCAGGCTGGCACTGAGCAGCAGTGGCATGACGCTGTGGCATTCCATCCTCCTAATCCTCCCTCTGAAATGCTCCTTTTCTTCCTTCTAAAAACAAAGAGAGCTGAAAAAAAAAACCCAAAAAAACCCAAAAAACCCCACTCTGCTTCAGCAGCTTGGTCCCACTGGTGAGCTGAGTGATGCTAAGGACAGCCAAAGCACCTCGTGATGATGTCCCCATGTCTGGCAGCTCTGAGCAGCTCCATCAGTCCCCTGGACAATGACACTTCCTCCTTGCAAAGGAGCACTGCCCTCACTAATTTTGCGAGGTCACACTTTGCTCACATCCCTGAGAGCTGTCTAGGCTCCATGCAAGCTCCAAATCCACACCTGTGGCAGTGTGAATATTTTAATAATGCTGACTTGCCAGCAAGGCCTAACAAAAGCTTGCAGAAGGTGACTATTACAGCTGTAATTGCCAGGAAGAAACAAAACTAATTAAAACACACCTCTCAGATAATGATGGAATCACAGAACAGGAAGAGAAAACAAGGTGTGATGATCTGCATTGCATTCCCACAAGCTCCACTGGGACAGCTGAGGTGATAATCAGCCTCACCATGATATTAAGTTCTTATGCAGCCTCTTTGTCAAAATAATGGCTATTGTCAGTTTGAAACAAAGCAGAATTAATAACAAGGCACCAGCAAGGCAAAACCCCAAGGAGGAGCTGAGCAAACCTGCCAGAGGACAACAGCTTGTCTTTCCAGCTGCCACTGGCCACGAGTGGCACCAGGAAACCTGTCTGGGAGCCACTGGATGAAAGAGGACAGAGGGTTGGGAGTCAGAGAAGGAAAAACATGGTGACAAACAAAGCTTGGTGGAGGACACACACAGAGGGGATCAGAGAAGCAGCACAAATTGATGCATTTCTCTTGACAAGCAGTGTGCCAGACTCAATGGATTAAAATACTTTTGCCTGTGTACTGATCATGAGCAAATGCAATTATACTTTTAACAGCTGAATATTCCAGCTCCTATTTCCCACGAGTACATTGGCAATAATGACAAAACGAGCTGTTTACATTGTAGGTGACCCTTAATTATGTCTGAGACACAAAAGGGTGACAGGAGAGGAACAGACCCAAGGAGCCAGATGAATGCACAGGATTTGCAGAGGAAAAACAAACTTTGTTGGGTTGGACATGCACATTAATCTCCTGGATTTCAGAGTGTCTACAGGCTTTGAAGTAACTCACCAGTAAATGAAACATTGCCAAGCAACACGAATAAAACAAGAATAATTTGATCAAAGCTTAGATAATCAACTACATGTTTATTACATCAGGCACAACATAAATAAATGAGCAGAGAGCAGGAGAACTTACTGTGCCACACTCAAGTGACTAAAGCAGGGCAACATTTTTGCTTATCTCTTCAACTTTAAAATGCACATTATTTTTTTTGATTTCTACGCATTCTCAGCATCATAAACACAGAAGAGATATGCCAGACTGCCTCACTTCAGTATCTTTACAACTTCAGCTGAGACCCAGAAAGCACAACATCCAACACTGAGTTCATATGGCAAATGGAACTATTTGGGTAAAAAAAGCCAAATGCAAAGGCTGGAGAAGATCTCAGAAGAGCTGGGGCAGCCTGAAATCTCCCCAGACAGGGGAGCCCAGAAATGCCCAGGCTATGTCTGGGCAGCTCCAACACCATGAGTTTGCCCTGGGTTTTAGCTCTGGTCGGGTGATGCTGCAGCTATGGTACCACAGAAGGGAAGAACACACAATTCAAGTCCTCACTGTTAACAAATCCATTGATTCCTTCCAATTCCAAAGGAAATATTCTGCCAAAAGTGTGGAGGAGCCCTCTTTTCTTGGTCTATCTGCAGAAAGGTTCGGAGACTATTCAGGCCTCTGCCCAACCAGGGCTTTTCTGGCAGCATCTACCCCAGTCAGCCCCAGGCAGAGGGGGGAACTGTGCTGAACATGCAGCCTCACGCTGTGCTCATCACAACCCTGAGTGTGTCACACTTATCAGACACAGAGCCCAGCAGCAGGAAATCCCAAGTTCCTGTGCACAGGCTGCCCATCTTCCCATCTGCAGCACGTGTTCACTGACGTGTCCAGCACATGCAATCCAACCACCAGCGTCTTCCTGCACTATCCTAACAAGAGAATTTTTAAGAAAGAAACCCACACTCAGAAATACCTCATAATCAGGCAGCTTTCCTGCTCTTCAAATTAAGACAAAGCTCTATTCCCCAGGTGATATCCCCCTGTACATTCTCCATTTAACACTCCCTCACCTATGTAAATATCTCCAGCATCCACAGAAAACTCATGGCCAGAGGCTTCAGGAATCAGCCAGCAATCTATCCAGCCTTAAAACAGCAAGTTCACCCTGAAATTAATTGTAAAACCAGCAAAGATCACACACCTGCAGTTTCATAACAGCCTCTGATATACCCAGCTGGAGTTTTTCTTCCAAAGAAGATGGAAGACCATGAGAGTAACATTCACTGACCAAAGAGAAAACACCAGATTATTCTTGTTGGTTGCACACAGATGGGAAATACTCCAGCTCCACCTTCCTTCAGGGTTTCCAGAAGCTGTGCTACTAAATGCCACTTGGATGCAGAGGAGGCAGATGCATCCTGAGGAAGATGCTCCCACTCCTCTGCTGAAGGCGATGACGCAGCAGCAGCTTGGCTGGACATCACCTGATATCTGCAGCTTGTGTGCCACAGGATTTTGGTTTGAAAGGAGGTTTCCTGCACCAAAAGCCTTGAAGTAAATCACAGAATTCCCCCTGCAATAAGAGGTTCTGCCTGAGCACAGCTACAGACCAAGGAAAGCATCTGACAGCAAGCTAAGCACATGCCCTGCAGCTCTGCTAGCCAGAACATCTCCACGTCAGTTTGAGTAGCACTGAGCACACAGATCCTCCTAGGAGACAGTGAAAACACACTGTTTTACAGTTTACACTCCTTATGAGATTTATTTTTCACAATGCTGGCTTGATGTAGGCAATGGCTTGGAGGAAACAGCTGTTAAAATTAGCTTATTTTTGTCTATCTGATTCATCCTACTTGAAAGCTTTGAGCTTCTGTTGGAGAAACGCACAGCCAGTGACCCTGACATAACACACAGTTTGCTTTGCAGATGTTACCTGATGGCACATGGGCCAGCAAATATGGAAAAGCACCCTCAGAGAACAGCCTGGGCCCTCAGCCCTGTCAGCAGCAGGGATTGCAGGGAAACAAGCACTCCTGAACTCTTGTGCTCAGCCCAGGGCCCCCACCCTGTGTGACCATGTCTGCTCCCTCTGGACATGATGTTCAGCCCATGATTTACCTCAATCCCCCAATCTGAGCAGGCAGGGGCTGCATTAAGGGCTGGGACATGTCTCCTGTCCCAGCCACACAGCCCTGGAACAGCTGATTCTCCCAGACATCTGCAAAAATGTCTGAACATACAGATTTATACTGGCTTCAAAGAACACCACACTCTCAATAAACCAGTTACCAGTACTAACATTGGTAACAAACAATTTTTATAACTAAAATCACTGATTGAAGTGTTTTTTCTCAAAAACCATTGAAGATTTCTCCCTCCTGCCCTAGAACACTGTACCTGAATGGCAGTGGCTGACTCACATCTCAGTCAGAGGCACTTCTGTGTACTTCTTTTGAACCCTGGTCTCAGCCACCAGCAGTCCAGCCCTCTAAAGAATAAATCTGCAGGCTGTATGTGACAATGCAGACAACGATTTCCTCCTCATAGTAACAATAACAAGGATGTATAATATTAAATTATTCCTTTTGTTCTCAGGGACTTGATACTCTGCCAATACTTGCAGCTGCAAGAATTGCCTCTCTTTTATTGCTGAAAATTAATTTATCTGTTCATTTCTTCTGATTTCCATTTAAATAAAACTTTATATCACTAGCTACTTTCATTCATCTATTATGATTTCCTTTCTGGTTTTAATCACCTGTCCTGCACTGAAGAGCCCATAAGTGCTAATTGTGTTCCAGATGAGGTCACCAAGCACACAAAAGTTATATTATAATGTCTGTAAACTGAGAGACATCATACAACTGAGAACATTTCCATTCATAACACAGAATCATAGGATGGCTTAGCTTGGAAGGAACATTAAAGCCCATCTTGTTCCATCCCTCTGCCATGGGCAAGGACATCTTTCACTATCTCAAATTACTCCAAGCCCTGTTCAGCCCGGCCTTGGACACTTCCAGGGATCCAGGGGCAGCCACAGCTCCTCTGGACAGTCTGTACCAGGGCCTCCCCATCCTCACAGGGAACAATTTCTTCCTACTAGCTAATCTAAATCTTTCAATTTTAAACCATTGTTCCCTGTCCTGTCACTACATGTTCGTGTAAAAAGTCTCATCATTGAGACAGTTATACTTAATGATAAAGACTAAAAGTAAATGTAAGATTAACTTCACACTGAAATATAAAACATCTGCCTATACTTTCCACCAGAAATCTTCACTTGGACACTCTGCCACAAGAAACCTTCTTGACACCTCCAATACAGATTGAGAAAAAAAGAGATCCTGCTCTGTCTGTCTTCCTCTAACTCTTCAGTACTTCTCCCAGTACCGACGCTGTTGTGGAGGGGGGATGATCAGATGGGGAAGTTTTTTCAGGACACCTGGTTCACCTCTTAAGGCACCTCGTTCCCTCCTGCTCCTTCTGGAACCATTATTCCACGGAAAACTGAGATCCCAAACCCTCCGCGGGTTTAGCGGCGTTCGAACACCAAAACGCCGCGGGGACAGGATGCTCCGGCACGGGGTGCCCAGCACGGAATCCCCGCGGTTCCTCAGCTCCATTGCCCGGTGCTTAGCACGGAATCCCCGCGGTTCCCCAGCTCCATTGCCCGGTGCTTAGCACGGAATCCCCGCGGTTCCCCAACCCCAGTACCTAGCACGGGATCCCCGCGATTCCTCAGCTCCATTGCCCGGTGCCCAGCACGGAATCCCCGCGGTCCCCAGCCCCGGTGCCCTGTGCTCAGCACAGAACCTCCGCGGTCTCCAGTCCAGTGCCCATCACAGAATCCCGCAGCTCCCCAGCCCTGGTGCCCATCACGGAATCCCCGAGGTCCCCAGCCCCGGTATCCCCGCGGTCCCCAGTCCCGGTGCCCATCACAGAATCCCGCAGCTCCCCAGCCCCGGTGCCCATCATGGAATCCCCGCGGAGCCCAGCCCGGTGCCCGGTATCCCCGCGGTCGGCAGTCCCGGTGCCCATCACGGAATCCCCGCGGTGCCCAGCCCGGGTGCCCCGGTTATCCCCGCGGTGCCCAGCCCCGGTGCCCCCGCGGTGCCCATCCCCGGTATCCCCACGGAGCCCACCCTCGGTGCCCGGTATCCCCGTGGTGCCCAGCCCCGGCATCCCCGCGGTGCCCAGCCCGGTGCCCCGCGGTGCCCAGCCCCGGTGCCCCGCGGTGCCCAGCCCCGGTGCCCCGCTCTCACCGTCAGGCTGCTCTCCTTGCTCTGCCGCCGCGGCGCCGCCGGGGATCCCGGGCTCTGCGGGGGGAAGCGGAGCGCATCATCGCGGCCGCTCTCGGAGCCCAGCATGGCTGCGCGGGGCGGGGAGAGGCGGGTCCCATGGCACGGCTCGGCTCGGCTCGGGAGGCAGGCATGGAGGGAGGGGGAGCTGCGGGACGCCCCGGCTCGCTGCTCCGCCTCTCTCGCCTCCGCCGCACCGAGCGCGGCGCCGGGGCTGGCTGCGCCGTGGGACGGTGGCACCCCTGGCACGGTGGGAAGAGTGCCCTGCCACGCCGTGGGACGGTGGTGTCACACCCCCCCGAGGACCGGGACAGGAGCCTGGGTGTCCCGTGCGGTGGCACTTTGCTCTGCTGGGTACGAGAACGGGGACGGTGACATCCACTGCTGGGGACAGCGATGGTGGCAGTGTCCTGCCATCAGGCAGTTCCTACTTTTCTGTGGAATGGTGGCATGGTATCCCCCTGGGGACAGGGACACAAATGTGCCCCAGAGTCCCCCCAGGGGGCAGTGCCCTCTGTCCCTATCGCAGGGTCCCTGGTGGGGCTCAGATGCTGTGACTGCTCTGCAGCACGTGAATCGCTCCTGGCATCATTTGGGAATCCCACCCCAAATCCCACTGCTCGGGCACCCAGTGCTCGTCCTGGGACTCGACACCCAGCAGCAGCAAGGTGCCAGCACCACACACGTGCAGTTCCATGGCTGTTCTGCTGTCCCCTTGGTGGCAGTTGTGACAACTTGAACGGGCAGCATTTAGCTGCTCTCTAGGAAGCCATAAAGAAGGTCTGGCCGAGTGCCCAGCACAGCATAGCTCCGTGTTGTTCTCAGTTGTGGCTTTTCCCCCCACCCCCTGACCTGTTTCCAAGAAATGTGGCTGAGCTTGCTGGAGGGATCTTGCCAGCATTTGTTTGCATGGTGGCTGCTGCCCAGGTCCAAGAATGCATCCTGGCCAAAGCCTAGGAGCTGCTCCACGGTGGGAGCCAGCCCGTGCCAGCAACAGACAAGGAAGCAGTCAAAGCAGAGCAGCTTAGAATGGCCCAAGACATGCAGGGAGAGAGAGAGACAGGCCAAAAAGACTTGGAGTTTATGCAGAACAGCTTCTTGCAACCACAGGTTTATGGTCAGATGCTTTCCTTAGTAAGGACTCTTCTGCAAAAGCTGCCACAGCCCCCAGGAAAAGCAGCTTCCCAAGCGGGCGTAGACACAAGCTGTTCTGAGAATTAATGCCACCAGCAGCCAGTTAGGGATTCAGAGCTAATTCAAAGCAGGTTCAAAGCAGGGATGAAGTCAGGAGTTCAGTTTGGAAAAACCTGTAATAAAGGAGAAGTGGAAAGAAAGTACCATGAAGGCGATGAAGGGAATGAGAAAAGTCATGAAAGGGATTTCTGACAGGCTGATGGTTGATTCAGCTGAGCAAAGCACTGCAAGGCACTGAAAGGCTGAGAGAGCCTGGAGAAGAGAGGGCTCCAGAAAGACCTCAGTGGAAACTTTCAGTACCTGAAGTCAGCCTACAAAAAGCCAGAGAGAGATTTTGGACAAAGGCCTGGAGTGATAGAAAAAGGGGGAATGGCTTCCCACTGCCAGAGGGCAGGGTTAGATGGGATAGTAGGAAGAAACTGTTCCCTGTGAGGCTGGTGAGGCCCTGGCACAGGGTGCCCAGAGAAGCTGTGGCTGCCCCTGGATCTCTGGAAGTGTCCAAGCCCAGGCTGGACAAGGCTTGGAGCAACCTGAGATAGTGAAAGGTATCCCTGCACATGGCAGGGGTAGCACTGGATGGGCTTTAGAGTCTCTTCCAGCTGAAACCATTCTGGGACTCTGTGGCTCCTCATGTACCTCAGATGTGAATTTCAGTAAAAAGGTGTCTGAATTTGAGTAAGACTCAGCACTGTAAAAACAGAAGGTGGCAAAAGGCTACAAAGGAAGTTCTGCAAAAGTTAGTTAATCTGTGTTCCAAGCCAACTACAAAAATATGGGAGTCAGATGCCTTGAGAAATTTTTTTTTTTGGGGGGGGCACAAAGATTCAAAAGGGACTTTTTTAAAGAAGTCACAGCCTACAAGTTTATTTGGGTTCTCTGAGGGAGTCACAGAAGATGTGTGGACAGGGATGCCTGGTAATGCGCTACATAAAATTCTAAAATGCTTTTGACCTAGTTTAGATGTTCATGGTCTCCAGCCTGGGCGAATTGCTCAGAGAAATAGCAGCACAGGCAGTTAGTACAAGATGTTTGATGTGGAAGAAGCAGAGAATCCAAAGAGCTGGACTGTATAATGAGAAATGCCATGAATCTAAACCAGGAATAGTGACCTAGGTGAAAGGCTGAAGGGAGCCACTTAAGAGAGAGAAGGTGAAGGCAAAATGGGATTGTTGTCAGACAACACAAAACTTAGACCAAGAAACAGAGAATGGCAGAGACACTGAGAGCACCAGGCAGGCCAGGGCAGCAGCACACCAATCAAACACACATTTCCCAGGGATGTTTAGCACTGCAAAAGGACTCACCACTTTCATACAGAAAAGAAACAGAAACCTCAGGTCTGGGACCACCGAGGGAAACACCAGAGGGTGGGGAAACACAACTGGAGTGTGATGCACCAGCTGTGGCAGTCATGCGGTCATATGGTGATGTTTTGGCAGGGAGCAAAGAGTTTCATGGGAGGAGCTGGAAGAGGGCCCTGTGCTGCATCTGCAGACCTGTGGGGAAGAATTTCCCAGGGATATGATGTGTTGCAGGCAAAAGTGCAGAGATATTTATTGGAAATTTGGATGAAGGCAGGGCAGGCCAACTGTTCACAGGTCAGCATCCTGTAGGTTAACTCGGGGTGATGTGCTGGGTGAGGCACTGAGGAGGGGCCGTGAAAGGACAGGCCAGAGTGGATGAAGTCATTGAGAAAAAAGCTTTGGATGAATTCTTTGTGAATACTGTCTTTGGGAGGGAAAGCTGGAGCTGCAGGAAAATACAATGAGATACAGACATGGGCGGATGTGCAAGTGCAAAGAGAGGACTGTGCTGGACACAAGCCCAGGGTTCAGGCTGGAGTGACAGGAAAATTCATAGGGTTGTTAATAGTGACTGAAGTGCCCTGGTAGATTTTTCAGAAAGGAGTGATAGGACAAAAAATCCAAAGGATCTTGGCTTTTTTTACTGTTTTACCAGCTGGACACAAAGACTAACTATGCTACATGCAACAAATCTGTCTGATCTGAGTTTCTAAAATAAAATGACCTCTTGACTTCTTGTTCTGCGTGGATTCCTAAACTACTTAAGTAGAAACCCATTTCTTCTTGGATCCTGCTGTTTGGCTTTTTCCCAAAACTTACCTGGGGGTCCCCACTGGGTTTTCGGAGGCTCATGTGACCTGAGTCGAGCTGGTGGACTGGGGACCCAGAGATGTAGTAGCCATTCACTGTAAGAGCAGATGGAGAGTTAGCAGGCTTGCTGCTGATAGCCAATGCAAAACTGCACTAATTTAAAAGCTAATCCCATAACTGAATATGCAGATATAGATCACAGTGATTTAAGGCTCAGTTGTATTTCTCATTACCCTACTGTGATTTGATGGGTAACAGATTAAACATTTTCCTAAGTGGAGTCTGTTTTGCCCATGACCATAATGAGTGATGTCTCCCTGCCCTTATCCCAGCCCTTTTGTTGTACTTTTCACCCCCATTCACCTGAGGAGGAGAGTGACAGAGCGGCTTGCTGGGCACCTGGAATTAAAAGCACTGGTCCAAGGGAGTTGAGTTTTCATGTCAAGAAGGCAAGCCTTGCAAGATGTTTATGGTTCCTGCATGGAACTATAATTGGCCTTTTTTTTTCATATACTGAGCAAGGAACAATGCTCAAGGTAGTGTTGAAACAAGATACTCAACTACATTATAAATCCTTTGGCCACAATAAAATTCACAGTCTTCACACAGACTACCCACCCAGTTCTGCCAATAAAGAGGGACATCAGTTCAAAAATTTCTAAGGAAAGCATCCCCTAACCTGCTTTATTTATAGTCAGCTGGCAGCAATGGCCTTCACATTTAACACTTTTTTTTCTAGAGTAATTTTTGCATTGCTTTGTCATTCTGCAGTACCCAAGAGCTTTTCAGTACAGTTATACATCTGACTGTTACTTGCTTCCCTGCAACCTCAAGTCAAGACAGAGATGCTCTGTATGGTCACCCCTGTAGCCATCACATGCTAAAACTCTTTGCTGTGCATATGTCCTGCGTGGAAGAGCATCAGCCAGCCCACGTGTGTCTGCAGCTCTTTGATTTCCCTGCCCTGTCACAAAGCAGAACTGAGGAAGTGCTTGTTGGGCCCTTCTTTGCCTCTGTGCACCCAGAAGGAGCCACCCCAGCTCCGGAGTGGACACTTCAGACACCCACAGAGGATGGAGTGGCAGGGAAACAATAGTGCAGAGGATGTGTCAGGAGGGAAAGCCCCACCATGTTTGCTCTGCTACACTCTCATGGCCATGTAGCCTGGAGAAGAGAAGGGTCTGGGGAGACATTAGAGTCTGACAGGGATACAAGAGAGATAGAAAGGGACATTAGCCAAGAGTTGGAGTGACAGGACAAGGGGCAATGGCTTTAAGCTATGGGAGGATAAACTGAGATCAGAGATCAAGAGAAAATCTGTGAGGGTGGGGAGGCCCTGGCACAGCGTGCCCAAAGAAGCTGTGGCTGCCCCTGGATTCCTGGAGGTGTCCAAGGCCAGGCTGGACAGGGCTTGGAGCATGTTCCATAACCTGGGAGAGTGGAGGGTGTCCCTGCCCATGGCAAGTGGAACAAAATGATCTTTAAGGTCCCCTCCAACCTGAACCATTCCACGATTCTGTATGTCCACCAAGTCTCTCTCCCCTTATATCACAGCACTTCCCTTTGCTTTGCTGAAGGACAGAGAAGCAGATTCACCCAGGCACAGCATCAAACAGTACCTGCAGAACTCTTCTGTGACACAGGGCTCTTGGGAGTGCCAGGCACGCTGCTCGGCCGCTCCCACGTCGTTTCTGTTGAAGGGAAACACCAGTGTCAGGGTGATGGAGGCTTTTGCACACATACCACAGGTATGACTATTACACATAAACCGGTGGCTCTGACCCTCACTGTCCTCTGAACCAAGTTCTCACCCGGTGAGAAAGATGCCTGCACCTCCCTGCACCTCCTCTCTCCCCTCATCTCTTCCTGCCTCAGCTGCCAGCTGGGATGGGTGGAGACAGAGCAGACTGGAAGCTGCATCACTGGTTCTTCCAGGTCACTGCCTGGGAACACTCACCTGGCCTGCACTGACTGCCTTCCCAGGTGCACTGAAGTCCAGCCCAGCGTGGGCACTGCCACGTGCCAGCTGTGGTCCTCAGCAGGGGACAGAGTGCCTCTGCCCCTGCTCTCTCCAAGAAAGGCAGCTGTGAGTGACTCACAGATGTGGTTTCAGTCACATTTACACAAGCCTTAGCACCTTTTTTCCGCCTAAAAATTATTTCCCTGGAAAATTCCCTTTTTTCCACTCAGGTCACTTAGCAGCTGGAATATGCAAATGTTTGTCACACCAGTTGTGACACTCCAAAGACTGCTGCTGCTTTTGTCCCTCAGTTACCTCTGTACTTTAACCATTCTACTCATTTTCTCAGCAAATTGAAAAATTGTTTTTGACGACATGCTGAAGACACAAGATTTAAGTGCAAAACTTTTTAGAAGTTGTGAACAGAAGACAGGGGGATGAGAGCAGCAACTTCCACAGAAGTCCAGCTGGAAATCCCAAGGAACAGGTTAGTTCCAAATCAACTACACAACACTGATTGCCAGACGGTATCAATAAGAAAATTAGCAAGTCGCTGTAATAAAGTCTGAGGGCTACTTTGGCTGCTTCACTTGAAACTGCTGTTTCCCAAATCCCAACAAGCAACCATCTAATTCTGCCAAAGCCTGAAATCCTGCACCTGTGTCAGCATTCTGCATGCCCATGGTAAAGCAGTGCTGGAGGAGAGCCCTTGTGCATTAACAGTTTAGCTTGGCAGTGAGCACCTGCCTCAGGGCACAAAAAGCCTCCTGTCCCGGGTCAGTGCTTATTTGGGCATCAAGCAGAATGTTAACATGCTTCAAGAACCATAAAAAGCCTATTTTTAGATATAGATTCATGCACATGTGTATATTCATGCATGTATCTATATGCATATAGATGTCTATGTGTATATATATGCACAGAGATGTCCTCAAGGGTTGTGTTAGATTCCTTATTTCAGAAAGAACTCAGGATTACAGATCCCAAATGGAAGCAGGTGCCACACCTGTAATGTTCCTGAGATACATACCCTGCCCCTCCCCATCCTCTTACCCCCTCCCCAAGCCACAGCATGCTTCTGCCTGCAAAGAAAAATACTTTGAGCTTTTTCTGCCATTACAAATGCAAAGCCTGAACTAGAAGCTTTGCTGGGTCACGGGGGAATATTTAAATTGTAGCCTGTTTTTGTGAACTGGGTAGTAAGTAAATAAATTCTATGCTAGGTCAATAAAGAAGCACTGAGGAAGTGTCTTCACTAAAGAGAAGCAAAATCAAATGCAAATAGTTGTCTTTTATGAGTCAGCTTCTCTTTGCTTACAATCCACAAGTGCATGGTTAAATAAAGACAATTTCTAATTTACATTTACTGTAAGGCAAAGGTAAACAATACAGTACCCACGTGCCTTGAAGATTTTTTTTTTTAAATTGTTGATTAGTTAGTAATAATAATGTGAGTTGAGATCTGTGGGAAGGGACTGTGATGTACACTGATGCTGAGCCTCAGTGCAGTCAGTGAAGCAATTTTTTTTGCCAGCGCTGACTTTGATGTTAGCAGTAAAGCAAGCTACCTTCATATTTGGCTTGGGGGTTTCACACGAGCATATCTGTCTTCAGATTTCTGAGACCCTGCAGAGGAATGCACCGAAAAACCTACCAAATATATGTGAAATGTAATATGTGCAGTGCCTCATTCTTCCCCTCTGCCACACAGAAGACCCAGACACAGAACTTGAGGACAGAAAATTCACACATGAAAGAGCAGTGCCCAGTGGTTAGCAGATTTGTGAATCTAATCCAAAACATTCAGTCTCTTGACAAATTTTCCAAAATAAAATTAGTCTGGAGTTAAGCACATTGAAAAAGAAAATTTAAAAAAAAAGCTATAAAATGCATTAAATAGAAAAAACCTATTTAATTAGGTAGGAAATTACCAAGAGTGTTTTAACTCCATTTATTTTGAGCATTGGGAGGAAAAAAAAGCCCACTTCTGTGCAGAAATTATTTTGGCAGCTCAAGTAAAGACAGGAACTAATCTGGATCAGGACTGCACTGCTGGAATGCCATCTACTGGAAGCAACTATGTTTACCAAGGTAAAACTGTGACATTACAAATTTTTCTGCAGCTTAGTCATGATTAGAAGTGAGTGGGGGATGACTTTTTTTTACAGAGACACAGAGAAGGCTTGTTGAGAGACAATGCATTGTCTGATCCAGCAAAGGCAGAGTCCTGTCTGGGAGTACCTCATGGAGCCTCATTTGGTCCACTAAGCCCTGCAATACTGAATTCCTGCATGAGTCACCTGTACCAGTGTCAGCTCAAAATGCCCAAACCACCAGCCCATGCCTGAGCCTCTGCACTGCAACACGGTGACCTCACACTCCTCCGTGGGCCTCTCAGGATGTGGCCTTTACTTCCCTCATTATACCTAATAAAAAGAGACAAAAAAAGCAGGCAGAACTCACCAATGCAAATCTCTCTGCACCTGCATCAAACACGAGAGTCAAGCACACAAGTGCACAGGCAGCACATGAACTTGGTCAGCAAAAGTTGAGGTGTCAGAACTGAAACCCACTTCCATCCCACAGGCAGTTCAATAAAAGAGAGACTGAGGCTGCCAAACAGCTTTTGACCTCAGTGTTGAAAGACACACCATGGAGACAGGCACCATCCAGGAGCTCCTGAATTGGTGTGGCCATGTTGAATGGAGAGGTGCTTGTCACCACCTCTACAGCACAGGAAAAGCTGCTGACAAGAGCTCTCACTTGATCTTTTAAAATGATTACTGGGATATCTACCATGCCCCTCCTTTTGCAAACACCATGTGACAAAAGTGAGCCCTCCACTGCAGGCTTAGCAGTGATAATAATGCCATTTCCAGCACTTTCTGAGACACGCTTTGTTTTTCTAGGTTTTAGGCCACTTCACCAAGGCAGGCTCCTACACCACCCTTTAGCTAGAGCATCCTGCATCAGAGGGGAATTGTCACTGAAATGTTTTAACTTTATGAGAAAAAACATGGAATAAAACCACTTGACATCTCTTTGGTGTCTCCATAGATGACTTACTCTTTGAGCTGCAGTTCGTAAGTTTGGTTGGAGTAGGAGCTGACCATAGCTGGTGAGGTATGAATAAAATCCCTCAACTCAGAGACCTTTCAAGAAAATGACCTCTTTCAGCTACACATTTCAGGACTGCCCCAGAACTTACTGTTGCAGGTGGCATTTCACTAATGATGCTTGTGATTATAAGAATATGAGGACTTTAATTAGGATCAAGATAACATGAAAGCAGAAGTTCTGCTTTCCAGGAGATAAAATGCTGTTTAGTAAATGGGAAGGACCTGAGGTAAAAGACAAGGAAAGGCTGGAAATAAGAACAGGCCACGCTAAGCTGACCTCAGCTGTGAAAACAAGGTGGCAGTAAGCCACACAAACACTGGTGTCACAAGTACATAATTCATTTTTAATGTGATGGGCAAGGTAGCTGGAGTGCTATTGTTTGACTAATGCAAGAAGTATTGCAGCTGCAGCCCATCAGAGAGTTTCTTCAGCATAATGAAATATTTTCTTGCTGAATCTACCACCCACACACAATTGAAAACCCCTCCTACAGACACTGAGTAACTCGTTAACCACATAGTGGCTGTGCATTCTGGGCACTCTGCCTTGTGCTTTGCCATGGCAAGCAGGGATGTCTCTGGATGTTGCACAAGGCAGATGCCAGGCACCCAGCTGTAATGTCAGTGGTGCAGACTCAACCTTCCTGTGGCAAAGCCATGCTCAGGAAACATTGAGTGCACTGAAATTTCATGGGCTTCATTGTGCAGATTGTATCCAGCTCAGAGGCCCCTACAGTGGTTTTGGGATTGAACCTGCTTCAAAGGATGATAAATGTGAAGTGTTTATCTGGTGGGATATCAAGAGGAGACAGACAGGAATGTGCTGTTTGTCATCTCTGCACATCTGTTTGTTCCAGGGTCACCCCAATTCCTTCATTACTGATTTTCCTAACATTCTTCTTCCACATAAGAACACTGTCTCATTTATATTCTATTTCTTTCTAGTTAAGAACCAATTCCTTGTGGTTTTTTTCCTGTAAAGACAATGAAAATTAGACCACACAACAACACATGGTGGAAATACTGTTACAGTCAGATAAGATCACAAAATCACAAAATAGTCTGAGTTGGAAGGGACCCAGAAGGATTATGGAGTCAGATTCTGAGGTGAACGGCCCGTATGGAGATTAAACCCATAGCCCTGGCATTATTAGCACCCTGCTCTACATCGGAGAAAGCCAACCATGAATTTTCATGGTTTTGCATTACTTGCTCCGGTGATACAGACTCCCAGGCAACTCTGTACTCCCACACTTCACTTCCAACAGAGCTTGGAAGGGTTAGCTGTCCTGGTTGCCACTGAAATGTGCTCTAGTGATGAAAATTGAAATTGAAATCAAAATTTTCTGGTGATGACAGGCATTGCAAACAGCCTTCTCCCAAATGGCATTTGATGCACTTTAAGCCTGCTTTCATGACCCTGCACACATCTTTACTTTCTAAGGGCAGACATCCCCAATCTCTCAGCATTTACCCACAGGCTATGTTTTCCACATCTTCCATCACTTTTGCTACTCTCTTCTGGGCTTTATCCAGCTGACTCACATATTTCCTGAAGTACAGAGTCCAAACAAGATAAAATATTCCAGCTGAGGCATTATAATTTCCTTGTAAAGTTGCAGGCTTACTTCATGCCTCACAGACAACACTCCTATTTATACAATGGAAAATGCTGGCTGGTTTGTACTAGCACAACACTGCTGGCTCTCACTCAACTTCAGATCCTCCAGAGCCCCAGTGTCTTCATCTGTAAACTGTTCCATTGCCTGCTTTTGCCACTTAATTCTTGTCTTAAATGCATCTTTACTGAACAGCATCCTCCTATTCCAGGGTGATTGTGAATTTTGAGCCTGTTCTGTGCAGGAGAGAACACCGTGTTCCCTCCCAGCTCCAGTTAAAAGTTATTTTTTGAATAAGTGCTCTCAATGTCAACATGCCATTCATCACAGGAAATACTGCCTAGAATGGATTCTCGGGCAGATCACTGCAGGATTCCCTCCAGTACAAACCCCCTTGCACAAGGGACCATTGATGACCATGCTCTGAGGATGAGCTGGCAAACAGTTTTGCAGCAGCTTATTGCAATTTAACTATGGTCCCTGCTTTGTTTTCCCTTTGGTCAGCTTTCAAACTGCCTTTGTTGCTTTTAAGACCTGTTTGCCCATCAGTGAAATGCCTTCCTTCACACAGTTCCCCTACCCCCAGACCCTGCCTGGATGCTGGGTAAATGTTTAGTCACAGTCCCACACCTCCTCTCACCAGAGCCTTTCAATGATGGAAGTGCTTAACTGGGCTTAGGATTAGTCTGGTGAAGAGATTCTCATCTAAACAGAACTTGAATAAGTGATCCCTAAAGCAAGGCTCAGAACACAGAAACCCCACATCTACCCTCTATTGCATGCTGTTATTCTGAGAACCATCCAACACTGTAATGGTTGACAGCACAACCACAGGTGGTTTGGGCATTCTCCTGAGAAAGATTGGTTGGAAGTGACCTCTGGAAGTCTTCAGCCCAGTTTTTCTGAGCAGGATCACTGCTAGCAACAGATCAGCCACAGCTCTGTGCAACTAGTTTCTGAGATTTTCCAAGGACAAAGATTCCCCCGCCTCCCTGGTCAGCCTGTGCCAAAGTTATCCTCCCTTCCTAGAGGAATCAGAAATCTGATTTCTGGCCTGAGCTCCCAATCAGGATATGGCAACTGGCCCTTGTTATATTACTTGTAACTTTTGGGAGGGAAGTACAAAATTGCCTGACACTGGAGAAATTCAGTCGCAGTCCTGCACCTTTCTGAGGCAGGGTCCCTGGGACAAGAGCTCTTACCACAAAAGAAACAGGCTCTGCCTCTTACTGGTTTCACCTGGCCTCAACCCAGTGAGTATGGGTGCATCCCAGTGATGGCTCAGAACTGAGGATAATCACCTCCTCCCCTGCATTTGAACTGCAGTGGGATGGGGTATTTAACTCCTGATATCTCCCCAGATGTGCAGGGGATGCTGCCCACCAGCAAGAGAAACTTTGCTTGGAGATGGAGGCAGATGGAGGCAGGGTTAAATGGAAATGCGCCTTCTGGAAAGAGGGTCTTGTAAGATGAGAGTGCATCAAACTCCACTAAATAATGATTTGGCAAAATTCTGGGCCAAAAGCTTCTTGAAATAAAATACATCAGCCCCTGAACAGACCATGAGGTGCCCATGGCTCTCCTCTGTCAGATAAAGGAATGCCAGAGGTCACTCCTGATGGCTGCAACTTCCCTGTGAACAAGGTTAGCTCCTGCTGTCCTCTCCTTCATGTCATCTAGCATTCTCTTTGCTGAAGAAATGTGGATTTGCTGGTCACAAGACCCTGTTTTGCAATGCTGCTGTGAGCTCATGATGAGAAGAGCAGGTCAATACAGAGCCTCAGGTAAACTGGAGGTGGTACAAGTTTGACAGGTCTTGAGCAGATGACAAGACCATGAGTTAGGTCTGCTTCCCAACATGACAGTGACTAGAACACACAAATACAGACTGAAAGCTTTGTCTCTGTTGTCCCATTACATCTGTTTGTTTTTCTTGTCTCCATGGACAAGCTGAGTCTGACCAGGTCACTGTTGCTTTTTTCCCCAGTGGTGCTTTAGTGATATCTGATGCTCTGTCAAACCACTTTACATGTATGTGTATATACAGACATAAATATCTCCAGGCAAAGGAAATAGGGAATGTGGTAAAAACTGTATCTTTAACGGGCATTTCTACTTTACATTCTCTGTCTTTTGTCAACGTTTCAGATGTCTTCTGATGATCAGAATTAGGATGACAGAGTATCATAATCTTCTTGTATTTTCTTTCATATAGTGTCAGGATCATATTAATTACTTTGGCTCTGCAGCTACTTTTGTTATCCAAATCAACTGGCAAGATGATTTCCTGAAACAGATCTGTGCTGCTATGGTGAAACATGTACTGGAAACCACCCCCACTTACCATTTGTGAAGGTGTTCACGTAGTACCTGCGACCCTGGGGAGACATGTAGCTCTGCCAGCCAGGGGGAAGGTGGCCGTTCAAGGTGTCTTCTCCTGGCTGAGGAGTTGCCTTTCGTGGTTTCTGCTGAGGAAAGAAAAAAAAGAAACAACCTATTAAGTCAATATCTAGATAATGTAAAGTCTAACCAGACACACAGCTGGAAGGAAATTATGTGGTTTGGCATTCTACAGATTCCAATATACCCAAAGAATTTCAGTCCATTCCTCCCTTCATCAGTGCTAGCTTCATGCAGAACAGGATGAAGGTTGCCCTGGAGAAATCACCCTTTGGGACAGAAATGAACCCCTCTGTATTTAATGTCCCAAGAGCACGTGGAGCTGTCCAAGAAAATTACTCTGGTTGAGCAGAAAAATGCAAAGCATGAAATGATCAAGTGTCTGAGAAAGAGAGGCAGGCACCTGGCCCTCCTTTACCTTCCCAGGGGGAGAAAAAAGCACTGATCATGGACGTGCTGTCACAATTTATTTTACAGAGGCACCATCACCTGAACCACAAAACCAGACTCTCTCCCAGGAAACTCCTCTGGATGGCAAAGAGTACTGGAACAAATCCTGGGACAGCTCCTCCACCATGGGATGAATGGTTCCCTGTTACTGTTTGCAAAAGCACACTGAAGAAAAGGAAACTCTGCAGTGTGGGAGTGCACCAGCTCTGGAAGGACACAGCAGCAGGTTGGTTCCCTCATACTCCCTTCACATTTATATGGCCTTGAAAATAACAAAGATACATCAGACTATCTGTGCTGTGCATGAAAATCTCATAAAGAGAACTCTTGGGTAATCCAGCCCTGGGTTCTGTTTCAGAAGATCCAGATTCACATAATTTTGCTGCATGCTCACTGTTTCTGTACTCAACACTTTCTTTCTCTTCTGGAACTGAAGTCCCTCCATTCCCACTACCCCTTCTCCTCAATTGGATCCTACAGTGATTCCATGTGCCAAGCAGGTCACCATTAAGCTCAGATCACTTTAGGGGCCCAAGGTATTCCTCCACTTTGCACACTCAGCACCAGAGCCCTGCAAGGACAGACATTAGCAGTTTGCTTAAGGGAAGCTCTGAATTGCCCCAACATCCTTTCAGTCACATTTTCAGTGTGCTTCATGTCTCTCTGCTGGACTGCAGGAAAAGCAGAGGTCTTTCACATGGCGAGTGCCATGGCTGCATCCTGAAATAAAGGCTATGCCAAGAGACAGATGAGGATGGTATAGAGTAAACACCAGCAAATGTTGGATGGAAACAGTATAAAAAACAAAGTTAACGCAGGGTTTCAGCTGTAGTCCCTGCCAAAATGAGCATCGCTTCAAAATCACACAAGCATCATGTTTTGCAGTTGCTAATTCTGATTTTTGGTTACTAATAGTTCTACTTTTGCTTCTGATTTTGCCTATCAAGAAGTGCTGTGAGCACTGCAGTCTCTATCAATGACAGTCAAGAGGGAACCTCAGCACTGCCAAATGCTGAAGTTCTTGCAAACAATGGGGAAACAGTTTGCTTTTATGTGCGTGTATTGTGGTTTAACTCCAGCCAGCAACTCAGCACTACACAGCCACCCACTCCCTGCCTCCCACCCCTGGGACAGGGAGGAGAATCAGAAAAAAAAGTAAAATTTGTGAGAGAAGAACAGTTTGATCACTGAAATCAAGTAAAAGATAATGATAATAATAACGATAATGATGATAATAACAAAGAAACAGGAGGAAACAAAAAGAGAGAGGAATAAAACCCAAGAAGGACAAATGATGCACAGTACAATTGAACACCCATACCCAGCCCATCCCTGAGCAGCATTCTGCCCCTCCTAGCCAGCTCCCCCAGTTTATACACTGGGCATGACGTTCTGTGGTGTGGAATATCCTTTTGGACAGCGTGGGTCAGCTGTCCTGGCTCTTTCTGCAGCCCCTTGCTGGCACAGCACAGGACACTGATGAGTCCTCCATTTAGGGTTAGCATTGCTGAGCTACACTAAAACATCAGGATGTTATCAACATTATTCTCACACTGAATCCAAACTCAGCACTGTACCAGCTGCTAGGAAGAAAACTAACTGTACCTCAGCTGAAACCAAGGCTACATGGAGCATGTGTGGATCTCTTCCCTTTGTTTTAGACAGGAATTTGACTCAGCTCACTATTAGGCAGGACTCATCCCCCCATGGAGAGTGCAGAGGAAGATCCACTGAATTCTGGGACCATTTCTGTGTTAGAGGTCCTAACTGGTCCCAGTACAATTGCCTCCCAACAACACTTGGACTCTGACTTCTACAGCAGCTTTAGGGGGAAAGAGGAACTGAAAATGCCGTAGGGGAGGAACTGAAGAAAAACAAAACTTGACTTCATACAGGTTTCCTAACCACCCTCCCCTCACAGAATCACGGAATCACCAACTGGTTTGGATTGGAAGGGACCTTAAAGATCATCTCATTCATCCCCTCTGCCATGGGTAGGGACACTTTCCACTATCCCAAGCTCCAAGCCCTGTCCAAGCCTGGTCTGGGACACTTTCAGGGATCCAGGGGCAGCCACAACTTCTCTGGGCAGCCTGTGCCAGGGCCTCACCACTCCCACAGTAAAGATTTGCTTCTTAATGTCTCAATCTCAACCTGCTTTCTCTCAGTTTAAAGCCATTTCCCCTTGCCATACCACTACAAGCCCCATTCTCTTCATGTAGGAGCCCAGGATGCTCTGACATAGATAGTGTGAGGTGAGATCTGGGATAGAAGCACATGGGCCTGGGCAATATAGTGCACAGCAGATTAAGAATCTCCTAGTGTAGGCACACTCAGCAAGGCATCTTATCAGAAATGAGTGCCAGAGAGGCCATCGTGGGTAGCACATCGTCCCTTTTATGCCAAAACAGGTGATCTGAGGAAAAGAGGAGATTTTCTTGCTCTGTTTTTCTCAGCAGACACAAGCCTGTTCCAGCCAGGCCATCTGCAGTCCCTTCTTCTTTCATGAGCACAGTTGAACCAGGACCATGTTTGCACACCTCTGTGGGAGAAGTCTTGGTTACTGTGGCATGTGATGACAGGCAATCCTGCTGCCGGGACACAGCAAGGACATGGGACTGCACAGGGAGCACAGACAACTGGCAGGCAGTGTCCCAAGAGGCCAGCTCCACATCTGGCACAGCTCCACATCTGGCACAGCAGCCACAGAAAGGCTTCAGAGCTCTCCCAAACCCAGCTCCCATCAGGGCACCCCCATTCCAGCCACATGGAATGAGAATGAGAAAAGTGCTTAGAGGTACCGATGTGTAGATGCAGCTCTTCCTTAGATCAGCAAGACTGGACTGTTACTTTGATTTATTGTTCCTTTTTTAGGGGAATTATTGCCAGGATAATTTCTGAGAACAGTAAATCACAACAGAGGATGTCTGCATGGAGAGAAGGTTCCCTGTCAGCAGAGAGCATTGCAAACCAGCAAAGAGAGAGCAGCAGGCAGGGACTGGACATTGAAGAAAAGCTGAGCTTGAAAGAAATCTGCCAATCATGAGGATAAGTATCAAGGCTTACCAGGGAGCTGTGCACTTCTTGTGGTTCCTCCATCAAGATTAAGTGCCTCTTTCTAGAAGTTCTGCTGTATTCCAATAAAGAGAAAAAGGCAGGACCCTGACACCCCTGCCCCAGCTCAGGCTGGGTGGGCTCACAGTCCCTTCTGCTTTCTAAACCTTCCAACTCCCACAGCGCCTTTGAGCTCAGAAATGTTCAAGCCACTCCCCTCACTGTCACTGCTGGAAGTGTCACCAGCTGCTGTCACCATGGTGGTGGACAGGCAAGTCTGGACCCAGAAAGGATGTCTGCAACACATGCTCGAGGAAACAGGAAACCTGAACAATGTGAGCAGTGAACGTGTGACCCCAGTGAAATCCTCCTCCATCTGTATTGGATGCCTGGAAAAGGGATCAAAGTGTCTTGCAAAACATTGAAATCCAACAGCACAAGCACTTCTCTCCCACGAGATTTCCTACGAAATCAGATCAGAATTCCATGCAGCAGGGGAACACTGAAGAGCCAGCCACCCAACAGGTCTGGTTCTACAGACAAGAGATGGTTTTTGTCTGCTGCCTGCAGAAACACAGGGATGGAATTCTCCTGATAAATGCACAGCAGAGAGGAAACAGAAATGAGCAGCAAATGCAGAAAGGGCACTGGTGCTCTTCAGCACCAAAGAGAGATGAGAGAGAGTGATAGCAAAGGCAAGCACGTGGAATAACAACAGATCTATAGGTTTAACTCCCCTAATCCAAGAGAGCAGCACTGACAAGAGGCAGAAGGATTTGCTGTTTAGGTCAGAGCACACAAACCTGACCATTCTCTGTGCTCCTTCCCCTGCATCCATGGGCACTGGGCCAGGGATGCCAACAAGAAGACAACCTGTGTGGGCCAGAGAGCCACCCCACAGCACCACAACCCTGACCAGGAAATACTGTTCCATCCATGTGCTGCTATACCCTGATGGTCTGGAAGCATGTCTGAAGAGAAGGACACCTGGGTCAGACATCCTGGAGGCTGCACATGAAGAAGAGCAGCAGCCTGTCAGAGCTCTGACACTTTCTGTCTGGCTGGGCCAGCTCAGAACAGAGCAGCACAGCCAGCAGGGAGCTGGTGAGTGCCTCTCCCGCTCCACCTCTTCTGACTGTTCTCTTTTTCTTATCTTTCGTCGTCTTCTTGATCAAGTTAGCAGCAGTCCAACTCATTCTGTTCCTTTGGAAAAGCCCTTGGCACTGTGATTCTGTTCCAGTGGTGGGAAAAAAGCCAAATAGAGTTTTATGTAGCAAAGTGGGGTAACAGGGAGTAACACACACCAGTTCAATCCATGATGACTTGACCCTGAGGCAAATTCTGCCTTGCTCAATAGAGGAAAATGACTTCCCATTTTCAAACTGCAGGAAATCCCCATTCTCCTTCAAAGAGGGATCCTGGGAGGAAACATCTGTGTGTTGACAAGCCTGAGCTCCCTGAAGATGTATGGGCTTGCACAGTGCTCCAGCGGAGCTCAGACCAGGGGCAATTCCCAACACACAACCCCAGGGAAAGGAAAGAAAAACAATCCCAAACCCACAAG